AGTTTATTTTAATTCGAGGAAGTTTCGCGTTTCTTTGGATAATTTGTTTCGTTTTAGCAGTTCATGTGTTTATCCAATAGAAGATCAAATCGACGTGTTCCTAGGATTGCTCTTAGATTTCACTTGTAAGCAGTCTTTTAGGAAAGTGTTTCTAACGTAAGGTTACCATACTTTGGAGAACATGGGTTTTTGTAAGCTAATGCACTGAAGTGAAGTTTTGAGGTGTTGACAGTGTAACAAATTTAGGATCTGGAAGTTCCTACTGCTTTTGTAGCCTTAGATTTAAAGTGCCTGAAGTTATATGAACAGATATAACCTTTCTATTTTATCCTTGTATATTTTAGTCATGATTTTTTGGCATATGTGTAAACTTTTGTATTTTTCTATTGCCATGCGGTTGAACATGTATCCTGGACAAGACAGTTTTCTTTGCTCACCCTTCCTATACCTTAACACATGGTTGGAGCAATTTTAGTTTATGATTAGGGATTAGGATTAGTGTTGCCTGCCTTCCAAGGAGTGGCCAAGTCCTTTGTTTATTGCATCATGATTATTCATGAGTTCAGCCTGACTTCTTGTATATACATGTAAGCCCCAAGCTTAAGTTATGATAAGGATGAAGCCTTCACATGTATTTGCCTTGTATAATGTACTGAATAGTTCTTTGTTGTAGCATTCATTTATAAGTTTTCCATTTTCTTTTCTTTCTGCACAGGCTGTTGAAGTTTGATTGTAATTGATCTGTGCCTTTTCTAGATACTGTGTTTGGTTTTGGGTTTGGTTTTGGGTTTTGCGTTTGGTTTGGTCTTTTGGGGTCGTTATTTTCTTAGTACCTGGTTCCTTTTTTTGTACTGTTGATATTTATGGAGAGTCTTTTACTAAAAGGTTAAGGTTTACTGGTCTGAAGAAATTGAATTTCCAGGTCTCAAGTTTACGGTATGAGGTATTTTCACTAATTTTGGTGTTTTTGGGGGGGCTTTTCTTTGACTTTTCATTTTGGTTTTTAATTTTTATTTCTAGATTGGTTCTTGGTTGTTGAATAAAATAGTTTTTTCTTGTGACTTTTTTTTAGATCAAACACTTTTTCTCTCCTGTCTTTTTTTTTCAGAAAGGCCTCGCGATTTGTCCTTAGTTGATCCCTAGTTAGGTAGTATTTTGTGCAAGCGATTTCCCCCAGAGCTGTCTTCTTCTAGTGTTCCATTTTTCCAGGTTACATTTTCAATAACACTGAACATTCTAAATAATCTTGTCCGAGATAGCCTGAATGTGATTTCCCTTAATCTCCTTACATAAATATCCACAATTTTATACGTCAGCAAAGTATAAAGGTAAATCCAATGAGACTTATGCTAATTCCATTTCATGCATACTCAACATGCGAGGCCTATTATCAAAAATCAGTAATAATGGTTTTCAAACCATGGGGCAAGGAAAACAGAAACATAGTTGTACTATAACCCACAAATTTGATCTAAACACTGTAATGATTCAAACAGTAAATATATGTACTCCCAACTTTATATCTGAGCTGGCCCATTGGAGTCCCACACGGGATCGTGGATGCAAGATGTTTGGGGGCCCATATTGGTTGTCTAATGTGGGACCTACAGCTTGGAACATCTGGGACCTGATACAGAAGTAATGTGGAGCCACCTTCCATGCACCAGAGCGGGTACACAAAGCAAACAAAGTAGAATATATCTAATTATATGCATATGTCAACATTTCTTTCATAGCTTTAAGTATAAAAAAACATTCTCACGAACATCCTGGGTAATTCCTACCGATACCCTGATTCTGCCGATATTATGTCGATTCATAATATAGTGGGATTTTAAATTCTTACTAAGTGGTAAATTTATGTTTAAAAGCTGATAACCCCTTTATAAAATAAATTTGTCTAGATGCAATAAACATAAACACTGCTAACATCTATGATTCCCCTAGTCTATAGTCTTTTATCTGATTCATATGCGCATCATTTTTTCCACAATTAGTCTTTGCTGAAAGGGCCAATGCCCAAAACAACATCGTTGAGTTGGATTTGTACCGTTTTGGGGCAGACTGAGTTTCACAGACCATGACGTCAATGGCGTATCCAGGTTTTGATAGGAAAGTGATTGAACTCTACTGTCCTATGAATTCACGGGAAAAATGTATTTGTCGTTTGGAAGTGACCAATAACTTTGAAAATAGTAACCACCATCTGTTGCATACTGATGTCTTCGTTTTATGACAATACACCAAATATTCCAAATTCTCATCACGGATGACTGAAACTGAAAGTGGTTTAATGGACCTTATTAAACATGACTTCGCACAAGGTTGTATTTTGGTGCTAAATCCGCTCTGCCCATGAAGGCCGGTAATAACTGCGTAATGTTGGCTGAAGTGTCAATTTCATCCTACCCATGAAAAAGATGGAAAGGCTGTGCACTTGCTCAGACCACCTAAAACCTGTAAGATGCCTTGCAACATGGCAATGCGTTTTCATTGTAAGTTGGTGAAAACTAAAGAAGGATGTAGTCACATTGATGAGAAGTAGGGCAGAAGTTCCAAGTCTGTGTTAACAGAAGTTGGGACATTCTGAAAGACATTGGGGTCACGCAGTGGGTTAGGCTGTCCAGGGATAAGTCGTCAACTGTCTTTATCTACGAAATAATTATTTTGGTAGTGAACTGTGGCGTCGCACCCCTTCGGTGGGAGCAGAACCTGCCAGGGCGCTGTCTTTTTCAGGTGTGCGACCCGGACGGCACGACCGGATCCTGAGCGACTAGAGACACGTCCGTTGGGATGGAAGTATACCGTCCCGGTATTAGTTTTTAGGTGTACACGGGGTAGCCTATGAGCTAATAACTGTGGCGAGTGGTTTCTAATGTCGAGTAACCACTGGAATGGAGTCTATAAGAATCCGATAATCATGTGTGGTTTATTCAGGTTAGAGCCTTGTCAATAAATCTCAACAGAGGGCGATCTCTGCAGTTTTAAATGTACGAACGAGCAGCCGTAAAGGGTGCAGTGTCCCAATTCAAGGAAAATTCTCCGCCAGGCGGAGGCGCACAAAAAGTACCCCCCCCCCCGAGATTGTTTCGAAAAGAGGGGTCTGTTTGGGCCAGGAAATGGTGGGATTGTGTCAGTATGGCCCAGGATCATCTCTGTAGATTCAAGGGCACCCATCTGGGGACAAATCAGACAAAAATGGGATTGAAAATTAGTCAGAAGAGCCCAAGGAAAGTGAGGGGTGTCATTTGAAAAATGGCCGCTGGGAGGGCTTGGCAACATTCACTTTTTGGGGGGTGAGTTTGTTTTGGGCGGATAATTAAAAAATTTATTGGTAAACAACACATTGTTTTTTGTTTGAGAGGCCTCAGGGACTTCAGTTGCCTGCCATGGGGCTCCAACTTGGTTGATTATACACTATTTTCAATGGAGCTTGGATTGGTTCAGTGCACCCTTATAGCTCGCAGTACTGCCGGTAGCCAATCGGCGTACCCCGGGCGGTCCTTCTCCTGCAAGCTTCCGGCGAACACCTCGCGCGCCCTCTACGTTAGCCCGCAAGTATCAAATGTTCCTCTGTTGCGTTACAGTACGAACTATTTTTGTCATTTTAGAAATGCAGCACGCTGTGCAAATCTATTAAGGTGCATCTAGTGCAAAGCCGTATTTGACGTGGTCCATTAAAACACTTTGTGCCAGGTCATCTGTGACGGAAATTTAGATTTCTTTGTGTCATAAGTTTATTACAAAGAGGACTCCAGTATGTAAATGGTCATGGTTAACATTTTCAAAAAATAACAAATCACATCTAAGAAATAAACATAATTACCGTTTCATTTTAAGACATCCTACATGTAAAACTTCCAAGCCAAAGCAACGAAAATCGTGATGCATTTCGTCGAATAGCTCATTTGATTTGAATGTTCACATCCCATTCAGAAAGTAATAAGTATAGGCCTACTTGCAACTAACTTCTGATCTCTTTCAAACAAGCACTGCGATCTCTGTCAAATGCACTAAAATGTATGCTGTATCATCCCTTAGTGCCTTAGCTGCACCAAGTTCATAGTATTAATAACCTGCAATTGACGTGTTCACGAAATCTTCATCCTTCTATTTTGTCCTCAAAATTTTACAAGTGTCAATGAAATAGTTTCCAGCAAAAGTTTAGATATTCTGAAATAAAGTACATGTAATACAAACGGTTAAACCAGGGCTCTCAACTGTCATCCCAATCCTAGTATTTTTGAAGTAGGCAGGTTGAGCAATTTGTAGAGGGACTGTGTACGGTATCCACTGAGTCTCTGTATTGTGTTATCACTATGTTGTCATAACCCGGAAGTTCAAATATTTTTTGGTGCCACTCTGCTTTTATTGCTGCTTTTTATTGCTGCTGGTCTGTCTCAGATCCATTAATTTCAGTACATTCGACTTAGTAGGGATATAAATAAATCTGATTTATTTTAAGAATACACATTTGTGTCTTTTGATGCTTGGTTATTTGTGTAAACATCAGGGAGATTGCAGTCCGTAAACTAAAACTTTTAAGCGAACCCGTCGTAGGACACGCCATCCCGCCATGTAACCGTGACGACAAGATATACAGTTTTTGAATCAGTTTGTGCCTTTTTCTCTTATTCTGCAAAGGCTCGTTAACACCGACATTTCCCAGCATGAGAGAGTTAGAGCAATGCTCGTTTTTCCTTGTCTGATTCTTTTACAAGCAATAAAACTGATTTCCCTAAAGCAGTGTGAAATCAAGCCGGGTCAGGGTCAGTGGTAAACGACCCTGTATGTCTGCAGCATAAAATGTAGAAACTGTAATTTGCCCATCGATTAATCCACGGGGCGGCGTATACCTGTCTGTTGGGTGCCATTTGATTTTTTCTTATGCATCATGCATACCAGCTGTCACGTTAGTGGAGATCTATTATACCTCCTTTGTACGCGCATAAACAATCATGCATGGTTATCTTGACGAATCAATCACCTTCATGAACACAATCTGGCATGCATCTCGTCCGATGCACAGCGACCATATTTCGGTTCAACTTATTTTTGCTGTGTCCTCTCCGCAATATTGTATTCTTTTGTGTCGTCGCCGCTTAAAACTTTCAGCGAAACCCACAATTGTCCATCTTACCTGTTTTCCATTGGAGAGGGCTTTTCAATCACAACACCGTAAGTGTGGCATTTTCATACAACCCTGCTTGTTTATTTCTGCATTGCGTTCAGCCGATAGAGTACTATCGAGGCTTATGTCCACTCGAGCTCGCAGAGGTGCAAAAGAGAGAGTGTACATTTAGATGAAAATCAATTTTCACAGGAATGTATACAATCCCATTGTGCCATCGCGTAGGCGCCATGTGTACGCCTCGATTATGCCCCACAAACCAGTTCCTCTGGCTTTTCTGACGCAGTGCAGCTATGGGAAAACACGGGGCACCACAGGCTCTCCCCAACCTGGCTGTTGGTTATCTGTATTAAATCCGCATTAATGTGCCATACATGTTGAGCACTCTTATTGTTTAGGTTGGGGAGGAAGCTTACCTGATTAGACCACTCGAGGCCAACCAACTACGGCCCTGATTTCTGTGTTATCCGCCACTCCTGGCTAATATGCACTTAGAGTGGAAACCTACCTCATTAAAACAAGCACAGGCGACGCCCGTAAAGATTCCGCACTAGTTCAGTGTTAGTGAAAAAAGAATTTCAATCGCCATCCTCTCTCATGTTTCCACGTGACAAGAAATTGCGTAATTTTACACAGAAACGGAGTCTCTTCGGGGAAACGTACCTTCAGCAAACAACCGTGTCATGGAGTCTCGTATCACTAGCTATACCATTGTTGTTTAACGACCCGATTCTGATCAAGCATGCATGTTTGCGTGTTGGCTTCATTTTTCCTGCTTTATGATACATCATGGGCACGAATCTCTTTAGAAACATATAATCATCGAGCAAGCAAATTTTATGAGTACACTAAAATATCACTATTGTACCTTGCTAGTATTACACCTTGAACATTGAACTCATCGCTGACCTTATTTGCAAACCTTTTGGTGTTTGTGTTTATACCAGATATGTGATAACCCTGCCAATACAGCGCCGCTGGATGGTTGCAGTGGACAAGTGTTTTCCCATTCGATGCATCTTGTCCTAAATATTACCGACAGCCAACAAATATTCAACATCATGAAACTTTGCAGTGGAGCTTCACATCTAACGCTTTCGACCAGATTTCTAATTATGCTGATTTTTGCTTGGACGCTCGCTCTAGCCGTTGACGGAAGAACCCGTCCGCCGAATGTTTTGCTATTCATAATGGACGATGTTGGAATGGGAGACATAGGGTGTTTCGGCAATGACACGATCCAGACGCCTAACATTGACGGTTTAGCCAAGGAAGGAGTCAAACTGACCCAGCACCTTGCGCTGCCGCTGTGCACGCCCAGTCGAGCTGCCCTTATGACTGGCCGGCTGCCTATACGATACGGTACGTTTTTGTTGGTACAGGTGATTTTATCTTTACCTTAGTCTGGATGCATTTTGTCATTGAGACCTTTATGGATAGCCTAATGATACACATGAATGAAGGTGCGCTTGCGAATTTCAGTCATACCGTCGTCTTGCCAGGTAATTATACGGATCATATCGATACGATTATCGAATGGCTTGTAACTGGATCGGGACAGATTGGACCGTCAAGTTCTAAAATCCAACAACCCATAATCTTCGTATATTTTAGGTTGACTTAATTACCTGTAACAACAACAAAACGCCTGACACCTACATTAGGCCGTATTTCGTTTTAGAGCTCTAGAATGTATGGAATTCCATTACTGCCATTTTACTCATCGCATGTGTGGCGTTATTGCTCGGGTCCGCCGCCACAGGCGACGTCAACAGCGCGTAGTCACGTCCTGCCGTCGCGTCGTGCCGTCACCCCTAGTTTTGTACTATTTGTATGCTGCCTGTGTACAGGATGTCCCAGAAAAAAAACCAAAACCTGAGGAAATGGGTTAACATGCCCAAACCATGAGATATGATTATAATGTATAAGGATCTCCGAAAAGTAGAAGCAGTATGCTTTCTAATGATACCTTGATGGTATCCCTCCTCCGAACATTTCTGTGATTTTCTTTCACTAGTATTTGGGTGGCGCTGCTTTGATGGCAGCCACAGAATTGATGACCCCATTCTATCTTGTAAACGATTTATAAAAATTCGCACAATTTCTCACGTTGTAGAAAAGGTTCAGGTTTAAGTATTTATGGAGTCATTTTAGTATTTGTCGTACTATAACTAGTTTTTTAAAAAAAAAAAAGATGAACACAACTTCAGCAGATTACACATTAATGAACCCTTCTTCGCCCTGGCATACATGAAGTTCTTCGGTGCCTATCCAACCAACTTGACTACGGAGTGCTTTTCATTTTCCTGAAAATTATACATTAATTTTGCTTTATTTATTAATACTCTTTTGTGTATAATGTGATACAAATAAAACCCTAAAATGCTAGGGGGAAGGAGTACCCAACTACCATGGTTACTTGAACTGCAACGGGTCTGGCTGGCATTTGCCCTTTACATCATTAAAACTCGAATGTTGCAGAAGGAACAGTGCCGTCGACAGTTGATACGGTGTAGTTATTTTCCCCTCTCCAAACTAAACGACCTTCTGTAGTACTGTACAAGATGCCACTTTTAACTCCATGACTCATGTAACATTTCCTGAGCAGTCCGTTACTTCTATTTTATGAATTAGTTTGTCGTGTAACTTTCCCCCACTTCACATTCAATGATTTTTCAAAATTTGCATATGATTTAACTATTCACCTTGACATAATTGTCAGGAGATGAGCTGGTCTGTCATTTATTTGAAACAGGTTACTCCTATCCTGAAATTTGTGGCATTCTGGAGATTCAGCGTGGTGTGCCTTGCAGGTATTGAATGGGGAAATTGCTCCCAGAAGTGTTTGAGACGAATGTTCCTCAGGCCAGACTTTTTTTATTCCTTGGTCCTCGAGCTTTTGGGCAAGTTGATTGTACGTATCATGTTCTTTAACTTGGTGTGCGCCCTCTCTAGCAAAAAAATGAACAGGCCTGCAGACTGCAAACGGCACAACGATGTGACGGTACGTCGATTGGACGATGCGACGCGTAAAATGGCAGTAATTGAATTCCATAAAGTGTCGAGCATAGACGTTTTGTTTTCACGTGGATCAACAGTCGTAGTTGTGACATAACTGTTGTAGAATGAGGACTACTTTATGGAAGGACTGCAGGCATCTTACCAGGATTGGTTGTCCATCCCATTGCAAAATAAAAGTTTGTCTCGTTTAAGATAAATTACAAAAATTAAACCATGGTAACACTAGTTATTTCGTTTGTATAACACATCATTAAATGCTCATCATCTTTCAGTGTGTCAGTTTAGCAGTTTGAATCCGATGTTAATTCTCTTGGCGTCTCCATTTTTCTCTGAAATTTTCCAACCCATTGATTGTGGCGTCTCTGCATCTCTTGTGGCTATAAACGCTGCTGAGGTGAATCTTGGTAGCAACTTAGCAGCATATCCAGCACTTGGTGTCGGGGGGGGGGATTCAAAAGCGAATGCGGCTTTGGGCTCATTCAACATGATGTTGGGGGAAATATATATCAAAAGCCTTACTCGAAGTCAAAACTTCTTTGCTTTAATTGTGTTGTTTTCTTAGGTTTTTGGTGCTTACTTTCTTACTTACAAAGTATTTTTGTTAAAAAAAAATCAGTCAGGAGGGGCAAGATGCCCCATCCAACCCCCCCCCCCCGGCTGGATACAGCGCTGTGGCAACAGGTGTCATGTGGAAAATAATATAATGAACTAGTTCGGTTTTCCAAAGAGTAAAGGTCTTTCGAGAACAAAGCGCACGCATGAGTCAGCGTATGGCTGCGCTCATAGGACCATTAGTCTCCATTCATAAATACCTCAGACAGTCTCCCTAATGAACAACGTGCAACTTGACCGTTTATTAACATTTGACAATGCCCGCTGAGAAGTGATAATCCTCGCTGTGTAAGTCTTCGGCAGGCACCTGGATGTGAGACAGTTTAATCGATTCCGATTGGTCAAGAGTCTGTGTGCGCGGAGCTGACCACGCGCGTGCTAAGTCCATAAAAGGATATTCTATTTCACAACTTGCACAAGGAATATACACGATAAAATGGATGTGGGTTTTCGGGAAAATGAAAATACAGATTCCAGAGTAAAATCCTTGGCAATCCATCATATATTGACTTCTTTTGACTCTCTGACTAAAAGGTGATTATGACTGGGGATAAATATGTGCTTATAAACTAACGTTTAAGACCGGCTCAGAAGAGCGAATGCTGATAATTCCCATGCCGCAGGCGAGGGCATTACTCTCGTCCATTGTTTCGAGCAGGTCATATGGACGATTATTATTCTTATAATATTATTGTAATGGAGATGAGTCACGTGTGTTCGGTCCCCATAGACTGTGCGTGCATTTAGTTTGCGTATTTTCGCATGCACAATAGTGACATATGGTCGTCGGCCTGAAAATTACTGGAGTACATGACACATGTGAGGGATTTGTACTGCCATTTCCTTTGAATACCTCATATGTGAATAAATTGCTAAGAATCTGTCAAATGGTGATATTTAATAACTTTTAGTAAGAAAGATCTCTGGAAAATAATAAAAACAAGTGTAAAATTTCAATTTTAGAGTATAAAGATAATTATGAAAAATTTAAAAGGCACAAACAAAAACTTGCCGTTCTCATCCATACGGTTTCCTTCTTGCATTATACCGTATTCTCATTAGAGCATTCATGATACTCCTCACCATTCGGAAGTACAGAAATGTCAGGGAAAACCCGTCAAAACTGAACAAATCCCCTCTAAAATGTCGGTTTCACTTCCAACTTTTGACTCCGTTACTTTCGAGGTACATGACAAGGACGGGCAAAAATTTGGCAGAAAATGGATTTTTATAGTGTACAAGTTATCAAGGGACTTCGAGTGTTTAAATTCGAATTGGTGAGGGGCAAACAACTTTATCTGAGCTTGATTTTGATCAATTACTTTTGGGGTCCACCTGTCTGAGTCAATAGCTGGCTTCTTAAGCTGTAGTGGAATTCAGTGCGCATGCGCCCCAACTAAGTGAGGGGTATGAACATACTTGCTATCGCGGGCGCGTGTAGATGCTCCCGAAAAGCATTATACTGGGCATGCACAGTTGGAATATCGAAGCGGCTCATTATTGTTGACTGTCGTGATGTGGGATCTGACGTTTTGAAAAACCAACGGGACACATATTAAACATTATTGTCCACCACAACCCTGAATTCTGTTTGAAATAAAATAGACACAGCAAACTATGACCCATGGCCCTAGTATATTTGAGTCATACATCAGTTTACTGTTTATATTCTATCGATTGATAGGTATGGGGGCAGAAGGAAGAATGAGAGTATTTGTCTACCTGTCGGCACGTGGTGGCATACCTTCTAATGAGACAACCATGGCAGAATTACTGAAAGAAGTTGGGTATTCTACGGCGTTGATAGGTTGGTATGGATTATCACAAAGGACAGACTTGAAGGGCAAAATAGATAGCTGATGCCTCTCACTCTTATGTTTTGTGCATTAGGCCTATATTATTCTTGAACGTATGAGAAACATGCCGACGTCTGCCACCAATTTCATGAGATTTTAGTGTACGGGTGCACAGATGGGAGTTTCTGTTCACAATGAAAAGGGGTGGTTTACAAGGAAGATGGTCAAGGCGGTCAAATGGTGCATCTTGCACAACTTAACTCATACTCAAACCGAAGATCATTTTCCTGTTTTCCCAAACAAACTATCAGTCAAATAAACGATAGTTTGGTTATACGCGCTAAATTTCATTTTTATCTGCAGAGACTCAAAGTTAGATAAAAATGTATGAGTATTCATCCTTTGTAACCTGCACTCGAACAAATGGAGTGTTAAACTGGTGTTAATTAACACCCTTGATATCCACATGCGACAACAATGAACTGGTGCCATCCTTTATGGAGACCGATATGTTACATTTACACCACACTTGTTGCATTGTCGTATGCATCCGCAACCAACAGGTAAATGGCACTTGGGCATATCATGCATCGATAAGGATTCCTGCTCCGATCCTAATTCGCAAGGATTTGACTACTTCTACGGGCTTCCTGTTACCAATTTACGAGACTGTGGCACAGAGAGCACTGTCTCCTATGCATGGGCCAAGCCACGGAGGGTATACACAAAGATGGGCTACTCTGTGATAGGCGCCCTTGTAGCTGCTATTTTCCTCAAGTGGGTGAACATCGTTGGCTGTAGGGGCGTTGTTATGTTCCTATTTGTGGCCCTAGCTGCGAACGGGTCCTTGTTGGTGTACTGGAAGGCTATTAGGATCAACTGTGTCTTAATGGAGAACCGTAGGGTCGTCGAGCAACCCCTTCAATATGATCACCTGACAGAAAGGCTACACAACCGCGCCATTCACTTCATGGAGAGTCACCGGCACCAGCCCTTTCTTCTCGTCATGTCCTTCGTACAGGCTCACACGGCGCTGTTCAACAACAACCGGTTCCGCAACCACAGCGTGCATGGCCGCTACGGCGACAACTTGGAGGAGATGGATTGGAGCGTAGGGGAGGTTCTCAGGTCATTGAAGAATCTGGGCCTCGAGAACAACACCTTTATATATCTGACGTCAGATAATGGAGGTCACGTGGAGGAGTTCACGGACGACGATGTACGAGAGGGCGGGTGGAATGGAATCTTCAAAGGTAGGCCGTCTGTGAAAACTCTCTGCCAGTGCCCTGCGCTAGTGGTGTGACGGGGGTGAAACTACTGGTGGGGCGTCTGGGGGTGCAAACGAATTTGTAAGGGCACTTTAAAAGTACAGTAACAGTGGCTCCTATAATATAAATGGTTTATGTTAATTTCAAGATTTCAACCGGTGGAGGGAGACCAGTTCAAAGGCACCACACTGATGGTGGTGGGGGCACTGTCCAAAGGCTCCTGTAGTAATACCACTTTCCTCCTCAATGCCTTATCGCTGATTGAGACACTTATACCATGTAAACTCAGATTTTTGAGTTAGGCTTATAGGCTATACGCCTTGTTGATGCCGTGCCGAACTCAAATGATTTAATTTTTTAAAGTTCGGCATGGCAATAGCACGGCGTTTAGTCTTGGTCTCTGAATCAGAAGACTGTCAGGGCATACTGATTTAGCAGCGAATATTCAAGGGTTAATGGGTCGGATTAAACTGTAAAAGCTATATACTCTGTGATATGCAGGCGGTAAAGGTAGCACATGGGAAGGTGGTATCCGAGTTCCAACTGTTGTGAAACTCCCTGGCGTCATCCCAGCGGGCACCGTGGTATCTCAACCCACGCACCTACCGGACATCTTACCAACTGTGGCGCGAGTCACCGGAGTCACACTGCCCACTGACCGGCTCTACGATGGCCGAGACCTGATGCCACTGCTGATCTCCAACGACAGCAGTAAGGTTGTGCACGAATTCATGTTCCATTATTGCGGAAGCTTTATCACTGCTGTCAGATACACGCCAATAGGGGGTGAGTGAAAACGCGTTAAGTTAATAAAACTAATAGATTTGGCTATTCATTGCATAGTTCTCTTAGGCCAGTAGGCCTTTACCCAAACTCTCTCGTGGAATGTGGTTACATTTACAGAAAAAAATTAATCTCAATGCATTACAACTGTAATGTACAACTTCTTTACTTCAGCTTGAAATGAATGTTTCAGTGCGTATTAGCATGTCCCCTATAGCAATAACTGGTAAATACCTGTGACCACTTTGCTCAACCTCTTCCACAGGTGACATCACATACAAGCTTCACTTCACAACTAGCCGTCTCGTTCCAGGGATACACGGTGTCATGGGTTGCTTCCAGACTTACACGTGCGACTGTACAGGCAGTTTCACGGACCGCCACGACCCACCCCTAGTGTACAACCTGACCATGGACCCCTCAGAGACCAGTCCACTAGACAGCAGTAATCCAAGAGTCCAAGGGGTTGTCGGCAAGGTCGGGGAAGCGGTAGCCAGGCACCGCAAGACGATTCCCCAACAGCAGTTGCATCAGTTTGGTATCCTGCAGTTGTTTCCCCGACCCTGGGACCGACCACGTTGTGGGAGCTTTCCTTTCTATTCATGTACTGACCCGTACCTCGTACTCCTAAAAACCAGGAAGAAACAGGCTACGTGGTAACTAATGCTACTCTAAGCTACAACTTCTTCTGAAGTTTTGCATGTGATAATCGGGTAGTTAAAAATATTGGCAAAATAACCCGAATAGTCCCGAATCCTCCTAAATTAATATTTTTTTGCACATACCTTTGGTGACGCCTGGTAAAATTTTGAATGACTTTGTCGTGTTGCTCTTCATCTTCTCTATATAATTCATTACTCCAAACAGCTGTTTCGCAAAATTTAATTAAATTTTTTGAAGTTGTCCAAATGCTCCTAAAAATACTGATAACGATTGTTTTGGTCGTTGAATGTGATGGAAACCCCCAAAAGTCACAAACTGTAGGAAAACGGGATGCTTAATATAATCATCATACTCTTATCATACCTCCCCCAAGCAGGCAACCGGTTTCAAATTATTTTTTATACTAGAGGACATTTCTTTTCACACAGGATTTAAAAAACAATAAAGAAGATATCCTTTATTCTTGAAAATGTTAGGGTGTTTGTTGTTGTTGTTGTTGTTGTTTTGTATTCTTGTTTGCATCCATGCGGTATGCAGAGTCGAGTTAACTTACACTGATCCTTATTTTACCTGCTTACGAAATTCTGGGATGGTTTTTATCTGGGCTCAAGGGCGAATGCAGTACCAACTCTTCGGGAAGGGGAGGAGCAAATTCGAGAATTTCTATTTGTAACTTTTTATGGCCTTTCTGACAGACTTTATACACGCAGTTGGGAGGAAAAGGAAATGAAACATGTGCTAAAATTCGGCAAAGTAGTGGTCACCTTTGCTTGTTTAAATGGCTACGCTAGCAAATGACTATACCAAAATCCATCTGCGGGGATCTCCTGCATTGTGTAAATTTATACCTGAGAGATAAAATCAGGCTTCAGATTTTATTTTGTGATATGTTTCGTGTTAGCTGACTCTTACAAGTGAAAGATACAAGTGTTTGAAAAAGGTTACCATGTTACGAATTATTACGAATTGTCCTTTGTATAGTTTGATGAATTTTAATTTTGGCTCTTGGTCGACTGGTCGGCCATGATTTATACACATGTGCACGTTCATGTACAAGTACATGTTCATGTACTCCATCAACGCGGACAAATGATTCTCGTACAATATATTCGAAAATAACTTGAAAATTAACGGGTCTTAATACACACGGCACTTTATTTCGTTTGTTTGGATAAACTGGAGAAGGTGTTTTAAAATGGAAAAGACCATGGACGTATCTTATTAATTTTTTAATCATTTTTCAGTATATTTGTTTCAAATTTTGTGCAACTGGGCTCATAATTAATACGGTGGTTTATTGTTGTCTAATCATTTCAATGTTGCGCGAGGTGATTAGCAGTTTGCCGGAGCAGATTAATTATCCGCACAGGCAAGATTGTTATCTTGCTTGGGTTTATCTTGAAATGGTGAAGCATGACACTACTCTTTCCAGGCAAACACTGATTCGCCCTTTTGAAATAGTTATCCGCCCGGGGCGAAATACTAATGCACCCGAGCGAATTAGAGGGCCAAAATACGCTTAGATAGATAATATGTAAATAAAAAAATACCTGGCCATGGAATTAAATGTGAAAAGTGGTGGAGTACACAAGGGTGGGGTGGGGCCACTGGGGAACACCCCCCCAAAAAAATCTATGAATCTCCATTGAGTTTATATAGCTATGCAACAGCAGCGTATTTTCTTGTTGCGCCCCCTTGAATGTGTCCACCCCTGCCCCCCCCGAACATTTAGCACAGTTACACCACGGAAAGCGGACGCGGGGAAGGGACACCATTATGGCACCAGAGCTGCATGCGTTTCCCGAACAGCGCCCCCAGTACACTAGACGGCGCTGTTCATATCAACGCAGCTCCTTATCGATATGCAGAGAGCAGCGATGCAGTGACAGCGGCACCAGCTCCCGTCAAAAAAAATTGCTGATCACTTTTGAAAAATAGAATCTGAAAGTAAAAGGTCACGCAGTGAGCTTCCGGAACCCTCGCGCAGCGGTCCGCCTATGGGGATTTTTCATGGGGTCGTCCTACCATTTGGAAGAATGATTTCTAAGTGAAACCATGCAACACTCATGTCGGAATTTTCCCTTCGTTCTCGTCAAGTAATATTAAGGAAAAGTTACCTGGAGATCATGGGTACAAAACGAATTTCATTGACGATCTTTCACTCATTTGTCTCCTTGTTCATGCATGTTTGTATTGGCCTCATGCATACGTGGAAACGAGACGGTTGCAACTCTGAGATTTACTACCTTTACCATGCAGTCGCAGTGAGTTCAAGATTCAGTCCATTTGACCTGACGTACTTTGCTTTAAGTTTATTTCCTTTTATATGACAAAATCCTAAAGAGAATTTGGTCTGTTTTTATTTTGGCTACCGTGAAGTATGATTTCGTAACTGTTCATGTGCGTATCATGATACTGTGACGAGACCTTCAAGTTTGCACTGTTCTTCACTGCCATATTTTCAATTTTCAGAAGTGACACTGTAACTGATAGACTTGGGAACGTTCACTTTTGGAGAGTGAGTTTGTTTTTGGTGGATAATTAAACATTTCATTGGTTAACCTACTAAAAATTGAAAAACAATTGAAACCTGAATGACCCCAAAATATTTTCGGTTGACTGCACCGGGACTGCGCTGCCGCCGAACCGTTGATTTTACATGTACGTTGTTTTCAATGGGACTGCGCCCCCCGTATTGGGGTAGTCCGGTAGACTCGCCACAAGTCTGGGGTTAATTCAACTCGTAAACCCGGCGCCATATGTGTACACAAGATTACGAAATTTTCAACATGTATAAGTCCCATTTACACTCTGGTTGTTTTTAAACCACTCACAAAGTCACTGTGCTTTCATATGTTACTTATATCGCCCATTTTTTGTACTACTCGAGGAGATATTACTATGCAATCTTCTTGTATAATAAAATTCCCGATACGATCAGCTGATTCCGTAGTGTAGTGGTTATCACGTCCGCCTAACACGCGGAAGGTCCCCGGTTCAAGCCCGGGCGGAATCAATCCTTTTGCGTTTTTCCACGGTTTTGTTTCCCTTAACCAAACCAAACGGTGCATGTTCGTAATTTTTGCTTTTTTAAATATTTTTTTTTTTTACTTCCACATCTAAATTTTCAAAACATCGAAGCCTCGGTCTTACAATTGGCGCCACAAAAATGTGATCAACATCGTGGAGCCACTGCATGGGAGTGAGAAATAGACATTTTCACTGATAAAATAATTGTACATGCATGCGCACAAATGGCCTTGGCCGCACATGTACGGAGTTGTTTATATTCCTCCATGGTTTACATGCGCACTCACCACATTACTATGAATTTCGAGGCAGGAGACGTCAGACATTGTTCCAACACTTCTTTCCGCGGATGGAGACCATATCATTCATTTTTAACAAAACGCAAACAAATAAAGTTCACGCAGATTAACCTGTTACCAGTATAACTAGGGGTAATTCCACAAATTAGGGTCTGTTTTTTTCGTGTCCGTCACATCCGATATATGATTTTGTAAGTTCAGAACACATTTTCTAATTTCCAAGAGTGACGAATTAATGCAAATTACCTGCCAAACAAACAGTATGTAATCTATATGTATATATTTAATAGATTGAAATCAATTCCGATGATATTTACATGTCACATAACAAACGTCAGATTTAACAGGGACACAAAAAAATTAATGTTGCTCTTTTGGACCCGTAATTTTGTGGAATTACATTCTCTTTCTGCCATCAGCCTACATGCAATTTGAATACACAGGAAGTAATTCCACAAACATTTGGATTGAGAAAGACAGACACTCCACACTCGATTTCAGCTGATTCCCTAAATTGTAGTGGTCATCACATCCACCCGTTCAAACCCGGGAGAATTCAAAATGTTTAGACTACATTTTGTTCGTTGGAACTAGAGTTAAACACAAAACGCAGCAAACTGTTTGCTGGCTTTAGTATACCAATCGAAAAAGTTACATGGTGCAATTTCAACAAGGATGGAAGCGACTCGGAGGGACACAACAACGCCCCCCTCCTACTTAAACGGAAAGTCATGGAACATTGCAAGAACCTCAAAATGACAATGCACCCGCTGATTTTTCAAACTATTCATTCATTGTGACGTCTGGGGTTGAACATGAAAGATGTGGTATTGTTATGCCGCAACTATGGCCCCGGCCCCAATGAGGCTACTTATAATTGGACTGGTCCCAACTAGCAAAGGATGCTCCTTTTGGTAACAACTTGAACTGCGCATCGCTGGTTCATGCGAACGAGTATAAAACGCAAGCGTTACAGTTGCATCGTTAACAACAAATGAAAACTCCCCATCATTTAGCCTGGATACGAGACCCAATGATTCTGACTAGTCTACGAATCAAGGGTCCGGTAACACCCAATGTCCACGTGACCAAGACTGGAGGAATTCCTCCAGTTTTCCGAAAAAAGCCGAAATATTCCGAAGTCGCCCCGCCTATATTCGCCATGTTCAGATGGTACAGTCGATGTTCAGTTATTCAAGGCTGGTTAGGTAGGCTAGCTGTTGAACATAAACCCCCGTATCCTGATGGCAAATTGTTGATCGTACAACATTTGACTTTATACACTGAAATCGAAGGCCGCCTTGGCCGAAATGCAGAACTTAACTTTCTTCGACCAATGAAGGCATGCAATGCCTGAAACTCTCTGCTCTCAGTGGGTCTCCACTTGCAGCATTGCCTACTGGATATGGGAAAGGCCTCATTTTTGAGATGTTGCCACTGATAATAATTACAATAATAAGGAACATTTATATTGCGCAGATACTATACAAATATACTCAACTGCGCATAACAATACCCATCACTAGCAGAAATGAAAATCAGGTGTTGGAAAAAGCTTCATGAAAGAGATGAGTTTTTAGATTAATCTTGAATGTGTGGACAGATTTAGCATTTCTTACATGAAAGGGCCGGTTGTTCCAACGCCAAGGAGCAGCACAAATATATGCACGGTCTCCAAAAGTTCAAGTTCTACCATAGGAATGACTAAGGATCATCCTGTCCTGTGAGCTACGAAGACTGTACATAAAGACTGGGATTTAGGTATTAGTAATTCTGAGATATAACCTGGTGCAAAGCCTTAAATGGTATCAAAAGTACACTCTAAAAACACCCAGGTCAGATTGACCCAGAATTGGGTCCCTTCGGTGAAACCCTTTTCCGGGTCATATTATGACCTAGAAAGGGTCAAATATGACCCAAAAGGGGGTCATGTTTTGACCCAGACAAACTAATACTTTTGCTTGACAGAGGTGGTTTATTGCAATTGAGCAGGCACATGACTGGAAAATGATCTGAAACAAGAATTTAATGAATTTAAAAACATCTGGGTTCTCAACCTGTGACCCCTGACCCTTGCGTCGTGATCTATTTATATCCGTGGATGATGTCTGACCTAAGATTTTTATCAAGAGTCGCCAGAGAATCTTTGGGCAGGGAACCAGACTACCCATCAATATGGCTCTGTGCAACTGATGAGGGAGTACAGGTGCTTCTGCTGGGGCCGGATAGTTGGGACCACAGACATATAAACGCATAGACCGCCAGGTCCTATTCAAAACTACAAGAGATTTTTCGCGATCTGCGCGGCGCCCGACTAAAATCAAAACTATGGGCAAATTCACCCCTAGCTCGGTATCCGCCCCGAGCTGAAGTGCACCCCCAATCGGCGAAAGAAAGACAGGTGGCTACAAGCAGGTTCTTGGCACGGACGTACATAAAAAAAAAATCCTAGACTTGCAACGCCTTTGTATGAAAAAAAAAGCCAACCAGCGGCCATTTTACCGAGCCGAATACAAAAGCGTGAGTTGGCTCCCTTATAATATAATGGAGAGCAATGTGAGTACCCTCAAAAACACGCTTTTTTGTTCCGCTGGGAGCGGATAGGGAATTTACGCGCAGTTGAAGAATTCCAGCCCCAAAATTCCATGAAGCCGATTTTCGATTGTGAAAAAAATCCTCTATTTACTTGATCTAGCCCATGTAGATTTATGCATTTGGAACCGTTTTAAAAGAAGAGACAGTAGTGCCAAAGAGCAAAAGGTGTACGTATTTTGGGAGCATTATGTAAACAAATACAGGCAGTATGAGTGCGTTGTCCGTATTGCGCATGAACACGCTCCCACTTTATTGCGCCCATTGTTTGCCTATGCTTTTCAAAATCACGGTTACACGCTCAAGACTGGTGGTCTAGCGTTTATAATGTCTGTGGTTGGGACTGAGACCATAGTTGGGGCATAACAATATCACCAATCACCATAGTCCCATAGTCGACATGCCCCATCATCAGTTCTTTTCAGTGATGCAGTAGTGCACTCAGGTTTGGAGTCTGGGGAAAAACTGAGATTTATTTTCTCTGAAACGATTTTCCACATCAGGAAAGTGTCAGCATCGTTTTAAAGTGTTCTTTCAAATCTTAAAAATGGCGATAATTTTGTCCCTCCTCCCTGAATATATGCCGGTGAAATCTGCTCCATGTACGGGAAGAGATTGGAAAAAAGTACGGAACAATTTTCTTGCAGCGACGAGATCATTTTGACTATATAGTATATGGGAGTCTCTGGGTCTAGGGTCACCACTCACTCGAACGTGAGTCGTCTGGGCAATTCACAAATAATCGATCGATAGTGTATTGATATGATGTATGATTATTTTCTGAAAGGCAGGGACTATTGATCACCTTTGGCAGGAATTGAGGGCAAAAAAATAATGAGCACAATGGCATGTGCTACAGCACATGTTACATGTTTGTGTACACTATAAATGGACCAAATCTGGGATAATGATAATGGAGTGTATGGGGAGTGATTTTATGAAATAAAACTAGCCAGGGAAATTAACCAAAAAGTCACCCTGAGATATAAGAATACAGGGGCATCCCAGGAAGACAATGGCCTCCAGATACTGGCATCTCCTGTTGTCCCTATTGTCATTGACAATCGTCCTTCAGAACTGCTTCGTGAATGTCGACTTGACGCGTCAGAGCACCCAGTGCCTCGACAGACTCCGAGAGGCCGGGGAATCAGGAGAGGGGCTTCGAGAACGACTCCGAAACGCGACTGAAGACCTAGTGAAACGGCAACAGGTCACTGATGAAGAAATCCAAACGGCAAGAGGAAAGCTGTTCAAACTTCTGAAGGAGCTACACGGGGAAAGAGATCATCTGAAATTTGTTACGAGGCTAATGGAGCAAGCTTTAGAAAAGAAACGACTCGAGAGAGAAGAGAAAAAGGATAATACTACTAAAAATGCGAAATTACTTGCGGAAAAAGAAAGACTAGTGCGGGACTTAAAGGAAGTTAAACGCCTGCTTGTAAGTTTCTTAGTTCCGTCTGTTTGCAGTTGTTATTATTGTGTTATTGCTGGTTGGTGTGGTGTTGTTGAGTTCTTATTTTTTCGGGGGAGGGGGTGGCGTACGGTGCCGAACTCCAACACGTGTTATGGACGCATATTATACAGCGTGACACTGATTAGGAAGGTGATTTATAATGCATGCAAATTATTGTTAACTCCATCTGCAGAAACGTGATTGGTTTGCGTAAAAATTGTACGATACTGTTACAACTGACGTACTGCGACCCTTACATTAATTTTGTATCCTTATGGGAACTTGCCTTTGTTCTCATAGCGTAAAAATTTAGAGCATGAAGCACAGATTTGTAATTGCTTCCATTTGGTCCTGAAACAGTTTGTTTAGCTGTAATTGCGACCGAATGTCCCTTAGGCCTATATAAAACATTTCAATTTGTGACAGATAAGTAGAAATTCCTTATTTTGAATAAATTCCAACTATCAGTTTCGTGAAACTCTTATGGGGTACTTTCCATTGTTCTGGTACCCCACAAGTCACCATAAACACACGCCTCTAAACTGAGGGCGTTAGGGACGGGTGGGATAAGGGGGAGCTGGCTCCCACTCTTGGAAAAGATGGCCCGGGAAAGGGAAAGAAAAGAAAAGAGTGAGATGAAATGGGGTGAAAATCACAAATAAGCTACAAAAAATATCGAAATTGAACCCCTTCAACTAGAATGGTTCAGCAGTTTGTTGCTTAGGGGTCCTTTTTCACCGGACTGTGACCCCCCTCCCCGGAAAAAGTGTTTTTGCATATTTTGTTTGAGCAAAATCAAGTTCAAGCAAAAAGCAAAAGTATTCACAATGTACTATAAAGTTAAAGCGTTTAAAATAAATAAACGCTTGAATTTGTATGAGTAAAATTGTTTCTGTATAGTGTTTAGCATCTGCTGTTACGTGCTGATGGTTCGCTGCATAGTCAAAATGCACTGCACATATGCACATAAGCATGTAAAGACTGCTGCAGACGAGAGCTGTCTACTAGGCAAAAAGGTCATCCTTGGCCGTTTGCTCATGCAACATTTCACCATATCCAGTCAATTTTTCCTGCGTTTTCTGCCTCGAAAGGCCGAGGCAGATACTTACCCATTCAGGTTTTTGTGAAACAGCTTTGCTCACAAGGCAGACAGAAACACTGAAAAGGTTGCCCTAACCCAGTCTTGAAAAATGACAAGCAAATACATGTACTCTAAATTACAAGAACCTATTCATAAAAACGAAGCAAAATGGTATCAGTCAAGTTAAAGCTCGAAAAGTGAACAAATTGATTAGTTTATTTATTAATAAATGAACAAATAAAGAACTTTAAACGCAGTGGCTCTTGTTACGGAAGTTTAGACAGGGTTCTGTCCAAACCAGTCAATAAGGAATGGATCTCGGACTTCATTTTCCTTTGAAAACTAAATCCTTCAGGGGTATGAATCTACAAAAAAGAAACGACAATCATATATTGAACGTAAACATTCGATCTGATTGAGGAAATAAAGAAAATAAATAGGAGCGGTAAATGGAAAAAAATCTCCCGTCACGGATTTGCTGCTAGCTCGACGTGATCGCAGAACAGCGTGCGTACTGATTAAACTCGTAGAATCCCAATGACACAACAGTAAAACTGAAACGTTAGATATATAGATTGGGAATGATAATTGTTCAAAGTCGTATCTTCATTTGGAAGTCGCATTACGGTTACCGTAACTATAGCCACTTCGAAAAACTGGGTTTCGTTTTCGGCGAATGCCTTTTCACTGTAGGTATTTGCTTCGCTGTTATCCACACAAGAGTAAACGCTTAAAGTAGGCCCTGTATGGTTAACCCAAATGCTGGGTTTTATTCAGACGATCCGTTAATGTATATGTACTTCACTCTGCACTTGGGCTATTTCAGTCTGGGAGGCAGTAGGCCTATACCGATTTCTTATTGATTACTCTATTACTCGGACAGCTGTACTTGCGCACTTTGTCCACACGTGTACGAGTGTGGGCACGCCTAGGCATGCATCGATCCGTATCGGGTTTTTTGTAGCGCACGCCTACAAGCCGTGCAATCCGAGTTGATACAATACCGAGATTAAGTTTGTCATCGCCATAATTAGTGCAAAACCTTTGCTTGTCGTAAAGCAAGACACAGCTATCAACATCGAGAAGATGACTTCCAAAAACTGGTGCCTTCTGTTGTCCCTGCTGTCACTGGCAGTCATCTTCCACAGCTACTTCGTGAATGTCAACTTAACGCGCCAGAGCCTTCAGTGCCTTAACAGGCTTAGCGAGACCATGGAATCGGGGGACGAGCTACAAAAACGACTAAACAAGACCGAGGACCTAGCGACACAGCGAGAGCTTCTTGCCGATGAAATCATCATCCAGACGGCCAGGAAGAAAGCCGAAAGAGAGCAGTTGCTTGAGACTCTGAAGGAACTCCAGACGGAAAAAGAACTACTGAAGATAAAAGCGGGAGAAATCAAAATGGCCGAAACGATCGTTCAACAGAAGCACCACCGCAGGGAAAACATAAATAAATATATAGCACACTTGCAGCGTGAAAGAGCGTCGCTACTGGAGGATATTAAGAAAACGAAAGATCTCCTAGTAAGCCTAGAACAATCGAAGTTGCAAACTACTCAAACTCATGAGTACATGTACATTGCAACTCATACTACGTCATGACCTTATCTTTGTTTCAATCACGTGCACGTGTCCACGATCCCCACCGTTTTGTTGAGAATGATTTGTCTGTCCGTAATCCTTCTCGCATGCATGCGATGATAATAAAATCTTGTACAGTGATGGCACTGGGGGATAAAACACATTGGTTATGTTCGTCAAATTCTGGTGATTATATAACTGAGTTCCCCCCCCAAAAAAAAAGTCTACTACAGGCTCCTTGAGCAGCGCAGCGATCAAAACAAAACAATTAATTGCTCATCACGTAAACGTGCCATCCTCCAAAAATTCCCTATTCATGCACCTTTACTAGAAACGCCAAATATTGAACATGCAGTAATAGAAGTTGGTTGTTCTGTTACAGAGGATTGTCCAGGAGAAGGGGAACATCGAGGAAAACGGAGGGGCTGGAGCTGAAGGGAACAAGACGGTGGCTGCATGACCAGGGTGAGGAGGCTTATGCCATGGCAACAACAGTCATCAAAGGTGCAGTGCTCGTGTAGCTATTTGAAGGATGTTGAAGGTAACAGCATAATGACGAGCATTATTGAACATTGTGCCCACAAGCATTCTCCCCGAAACGAATGATGTTACTATTGCAAGACCATTGCATGCCCATCTTCAACTCCCATCACACTCAAACACGATCTTACTACGTCGCCAAAAAAATCAGGGGAGCGTGGCCAATCATGGGTGAGATCGTGCACATCGTAGTCAAACCTGAGTGGGAACTGAGAGCAACGTGGTGCGGGCTTCATGGACGGGCGGGTCGTACCAAAATTTCAAGCATGCTCAAATTTTACGAAGCAGAGTCGCAATGGCTAAAATCGCAGTGACAGCATATCAACAACCCAGTAAAGTCGGCATACACCTATATGTAGTCTTGGCGTATCAGCATCGTAGTGGGATTTTCACTGACGTGGTAAAAGCGCACCTCAACCGGGGAAAAATTTCCACCAGCACCAGTTCAGCTTGGGCATCCAGCATAGTATGTTGTTCTTGGAGGAGAACAAGTTGCAGAAGAGGAGCATCATGTCCATTCATCTTGGCGACTGAGAAAGAACTGATGGCGTGCACTGTTTCAGCCAACATAGGAAATGCTCGGAATTAAACATCACCGAAATTGTATTACTATCGCACCGTGAACTTTGAAGTCGTAGCACAATCGTATCGAAGTCTTCAATTACATCGTGGAACGATCTGATTGCATGTGAGCCGAGTCGGGACTCACGTTTAGTTTAATCGTTCCGAGAATGCAATCGTGCCCGCAACGGAGTGATAACCTAGAGTATCTTAAAAGAACAATTTATCGCCCAATTTTCCAAGTTTCATCCCGTCCTAGCTTTGTTTTACTGAAATCTTACAACGCGGTCTCGTTTATATAGTGGGGGCACTGATTGGTTACTGAAGAATGTTCTACATGGCTGTACGTGTACATGTGTGCCGGGGAAACGCTATAGGTAGCGAAGGACCTTCATATTTCCATAATGTGGGGTCACAGACCTGCATTTGATGGACAGCTGCGAAACGAAGCTGCTCGTCAGTGTGCTGAGGTGAAAAACTGTGATATGTTTCTTTAAGAAACTCCACAGCTGTTCAATTGCCTGATAAAAAAGGGTGGACCTCATGTTTATCATAAAAGCTACAACATATTCGTGTTGTATTTAGATGAAGCCAGAAGGCTAATATAAATCAAACCGACATGTTAAATATGACGCCCATGTGGAATTTCTTCAAACCGTCCTGACACAAATTTTGGAATTCGCCACAAATCTGCGAGTATTAAAACCATAACATTCATACTTGAATTTCTATCCTTTCAAATCAAATACAACCTGCTCTGATTATTTCTAAGATTTAAAAAGTGTTTTTGCATGTCTTTCCTCTTAGTGATCAACTTCAAGCTTCAAACTTTGGGGAATGATTTTGTGTAGTGTTATTATTCCAAATGCAACATTTAAGTTTCAAACTTGTCAACTGTCAAACTCAAGTAAAAAAATGGTGACAACACGATTTTAAACGGTAGCAAATGTTAGATATCTTGAAACTACAGACTAACTTATTTCAACATGGCTAAAATAATGACAGAAAAGAAAATGGAAACAACTGTTCCCAATGCCCGTTTACTGATCATTTATTTCTGAACACCATGTGTCACCCATAAGCATAATAGAGATGGACTCGAGACTTTTTTTTTTGTTCCTATATATAACAGGTGGTATTGCAAACATACATTGCGCCAATTAAGTTCTATGTAAATTATACATGTGGCCTGGGGGCATATGGCACAGGGGGGGGCATGTGGCCCGGGGGGGGGATGTGGCCCGGGGGAGCATGTGGCCAAGTGGTTAGGGTCTGTGGCTTCCAATCATAGGGTTGGAGGTTCGAATCCAGCTGCAGGCAGTATGTTGTGGCCCTTGGCAAGCCATATCACCCCTGATTGCCTCTCTCCACTCTGGAGTATAAATGGTACCAGCATTAGCTGGGGAAGCAACCTGAGAAGAGCGATGGACTGGCATCCCATCCAGGAGACTAGAAATATTCTCTGTCGTTTCATACCAAGGAAACCGGAGATAAACACCCCACTGATGAGCCAAATTGGCTCGGACCGACTTGCTTTGAAAGTGTTTATAAATATAACAGTACTGTTAAAAAGTATCTCATTAAAAAAATGTGTATGTATAATCTTAACAGCATACTCTCATCAAATTTGGTCATTAAATTTCCGATAATTCTGTTACCATGATCATATCATTAAATTTTTGCACCGATTATTTTGCTTGAATTACAATAAAAGTTACATGCAGAGCAAAACATTCATTTCTATGTACATAAATTAAGCATACCATTATCTGAAAGTTGAAATAGGTTACCAATAACATAAATTATAGCGTGCATTCAATCCTATACCCTCCAAAATATCACCATCAGTGATGTATTTCAATTTGCTGGACCCTTTATTTACCAGCACATCTGTACATGTACAGGAATACTTTGAATGCATACACTACTCATCAGGTGCTTAGGGCTATTTAGTGAGTAATTTTCGTTAATCTTTCGATGCCCCAAAACATGCTTCATTGAAAACTTCATTTTAGAAACATCAAATATTGGTACGACCCTCAGTTTAATAATTTTACTGGTAAATTTGCTATCCTTATATGAGTTCAATATTAGTTTGTTTCACAAACAAAAAATTGAGTAAAGTTAACGGCCCAACATTTACTCCAAAAAGTCTTTCTGGTAAAAGCCATCACAAAGCTTAGTCTTATACCTGACAAAAATGATCTTAGAACCCACCTCCCAGCACTTTATCAACAAACTATTATGAATATTCAAATATGATTTGTGCAACATATATTCTTATAAAGGTGCCTACCCCGAACAAGAACTGTGCTTCTGTAATTATTTTCACTATTTTGCACTAACCTTTCCAAGAGGGAAGACAAAGTTCACTTTGAAGACTGACGTAACAGTTCGGTTTAACATTCCATAAAAAATATCTGCACACACACACACACACATTTATGCATCACATTTCACTTTGGTAACACAAAGGTTGATTCAAAATCAAAATTGTTTTTGAGGGGCCCAAAATTTTGATATTTCTTCAACCTCTTTCTGGCCTTTCTTACAGGTGAGGCTAGAATTTGGGACTTTATTTACAAACTTTTGAAAGAAAGGAAAGTGAAAATTCCCCTCAATCATTTTTCTCATTAATTTTGAAAACAATCTTGTTTTCTCAATTTATTGGGGGGGGGCATGGTCCCTGGTGCCCCCCTCCTCCCAGATCCCAAGTGTGCTAACATGGCTGTTGAAAAACAACCATATGTTAAGTAAAGAAAGGAACACACAAAATCAACAAAACAAGGGACTGAAATCGCAGGTGACATGTTTGTATCCCTAAAGCACATGCAATTTTGTTACAAAAACATTCAAACTACAATACCAATGACAAGTACTGTTATGCGACACCAGATACACGACACATTACAATTTGTGTTGATGTCAGAGCCATGGACAACCTGCAGGTACATGCACTATGGTATCCTTGCAGGAAAGGAATTAATGGTGGTTGCATTAGTCTGTATTGTTTCTACATGTATTTCTCATAACCATGACTTTGAACCCTGAACTGAACCCAGAACAAACACTAAACCATTGCTTCCTAAACACTGCTTTGCCCTTTGCCTGTAGCATCACCCTGCTGGAACCCATGGGGATGTCCTGTCATACAAATGGACCAACTACTTGCAAGGACTGTGAAAGTTATGACAATACCTTCCCCTGCCCAATTTCTCTACATTTCAGGAGGAAAGGCAGTGCAATTGCACATTCAACCCAAATACATGTACCTATGCATACATTGCACATGCCCAGTTTAGTCCATGTACAGTCCACTAACCAGTTAAAGATTTGGGAAGTGGTTACGTGTTGCAAACCCCACCCTGTTCAGCAGCTGACAATTCTTTATCACAACCCAAGCAAAACACGGCAAATTTGACTCACATGAGTATGTCCTACCTTTATCCCAACAGTATCTTACACTGCGGGGAGGGGGGATTATAGATTTCAAATTTTCCAAGGGAGGGAGAGGGTACATGCTTTTCCGCTGGACCACTTCAGTCAAGGCATGACCGAGTGAAGAAAGTTAGCTCAGCTCCATTTTTGGAAAGGCAACTACAATAATGCACACTGTTATCTGGGGCACATTCAACAGTACAATATTCATGCTGGTATTGGCACACCCTTTATACCTTTACTCTTGGTGATGTGCATACGTATGCAAAAAATTGTGCAACTGTGCCGCTGTAGTATGTACGTAAAGTGTTCCTGTAATGCTGGAAGATGAATTCTGAGTCGTAGACAAAATTAAGATAGCGGAGCACAAATCACAGAATTCCCATTATTATTTGATTTCTGGTAATGAAAACAAGGATTATTTATCTGAGCACTCAAGGCACTACGGCTCGCAAGCCAAAAGAAACTTGTTGAGTGGAGACAATGAGAAGCAGTTAGAGTGTCTGAGTTTAGAGGAAAACTCAAGAGGAATATTCTGGGTAAAAACCAACAGAATCAGGTAGGGACTGAAAACTTAATCCATATGTGGACCAAGCCCGGAATTGAACCCAGGCCACAGAGCTGGAAGGCAAGGAAAGAACCACTATGCCAACCTAATTCCCCAAACGCCAACCTAACTCTCCTAACAAGACACTGAATTATTTCAACAAATCACAGGTTTTCTGGCTTTACCAACACAGAAAGACATCAAATTGTGTGGAAGAACAGACTTGTGCAATCCGTTCACATCAGATTTCATGGTTAATCCATTCTACAGATACAGTGTGCAGTGACTGGAACCTCCTTTGAGCTACGTGAGGTACATGTATTGAAAGCATGTGTGAAAAACTTCAGTCAAGCAGATGCATTTCCCAACAGCAGGAAACCTTGTTTCTACATATGTATTTTACCGACAACTTCAATGGTTTCAAATCAATAGCAAATTCTGCTTCACTAGTAATGGTGTGACAATGGATGCGTTGCGCTTTCCAAGGTTGAAACAAATGCTACACAATAACCCCCAATTATCATTTCCATTTTCACAAGGTGGATACAGAAACGGACATGTACCTGTACTTGGATATGTACTGAACGTCCATAACACTGGCCAATCAACTGCCATTCATATGTAAATATATACACTTGCGACCGATTGTCAATCCAATTTCCATTCTACAAACACAGGAAAAATATCACGACCACCTTTTACATGTACAGGTAAATGTGTTTCTGCACTACATGTACATGTACTAGCAACTCCCATGGACTGCCTACTTTTGGTCTCTTTAAAATTGTACTGCATATATTTGAATATACTGTATACATTATATATTTCTTTGAAACATATACATGTACAAGGAGTAAAAGTAACAGTTTTATATGTCTCTGTGTTGGCTCTAAAATATATGTATCTTTAATACTGAACAAACAAGTTTTCATGAAATACTGAAAGTTTTCATACTACAGTTTCAAATATTGCGATTCCTTTTAATTATCGGCAAAGCAAGCATAGCTGAGTGGGAAAGTTATCATCCTAAGCCCACTGGTAACAGCTGGAAAGCTTACATCACCGTTAATTTTCCATTGTAAAGGGAGACTTCGAGAAACTCGGTGGCGACAAACATGACGGTCCTTTTTGCCAGTTCTGAGCATGTGCACATTGTTTGGAGCATGTGTGCATAGTTCTGAGCATGTGCAATGCTGTGAAAAAGGACCAGTATGTCTGCTGCCACCAGTGTCTCAAAGTCTCCCATTACGGTCACAGGCTAAACGTGACAGGGGAAAATTTCAGTGGAACTGCCATCATTACACAGGAACCCCTATCAATTTGATGGGAACAGCACTGTGTTACAAAAAAATTGTGCAAATGCACTGCAAAATTTCAGCTTTCCACTGCACTTTGCATAACATAAATGTACATGTAGCTGTGCGGTAACCAAACATACCCAGCAAATTAATACCCCTCTGGTGTAAAAAAAAAAGCCCAAGTGCACATGAGAATGGCAGCAAGCCTTACATTCATGGGTACATGAACATACAGGTACAAAGTTTTCATGCAGGCACAGAAGAAAAAGGTAAAACTAAAATTTGAAGATTTAATGAAAATGTGCTAGTAATTTCATCACTAGGCAAACACCGAAGGCTGCGTCTAAGAGCTTAAAAAATGGCTGGCATGAATATTCATGACATCACCTATTTACACTTCAAATGCTAATGTACTCGTACACCGTGGCTACACATATGCATTATATTAAACATTCCTGTACAAAAAGGGTGTAAAAATTGTGTGAGCTAGTGCTCGGTGTTGTGCGACATTATGAACACAGACTTTTCTACAGCGTAGATATGAGACTCTGAGATGGGAGACATTTTCAGAGGTGCATCAGTTAAAAATGAAAGACAGAAAACTTGTCAACTTATAAGGTGAAAAATTACCTTTTCTCTGGATTTATCTACTTATATGAACAAAATACTGCACACCGTGCCGGGTACCATGTATCTGTGTATGGGCATTCATTTACAGATTGTTAAAAGTCTTTAAAACTAAATCTAGCACACTTCAAGAGCACACTTCTGTCTTTTCTGTAGCACATACCGGTACGTATGTACATGTACTGTACATTAACATGTCAAATTCCAAAGCAAACATGCTAAAGCAAAATGTCATAAGTTTTAAAATATTTTAAAATTCTTAAATAAGGAATGATTGTGTCATTGTAAAACCACAAAACTTGAAAGTCAGGTACCGCACATGTACAGTAGGTGTTGGTGAATCTAGCCTCGTTGCCCTGAACTAGGAAAAAAGCTCCAGTGCATCTTGTCTCAGACCAATATTCCTTGATTCCATGCTGACCCACTAATACATCCAAACCAGACTGATAAAGGAACATGCCATTACCAAACTGCATGACTACTGGAAGACAAAATAATGAAGCTTGAGTTTGGAAAACTGGTTGGGCATGCACCTGTTATCCAGTAGCTCCCTGAAGCACACCTGTCTTTGCCATTGGGTCACCTGTTCATTCAGCTGCATCTACCTCCGGTAGGTTTTTTCTCTCCAAGCAGCCTCTGGCGTCATCTTTCCACATCTCCAAATTAGATTTACTTCCTGAAGCATGGAAGAAGTCCACTTACTGATACGTAGGTGGGACAGTTAGGATTAGCTTTCTAAGATAATTAAGATTATTAAACATACATGTAAAAACAAAAACCGTCACAATATAACCTGACATGTAAGGTATGTGCATGCAACTTCATAGCTTCCCAGCACATATGATAAATAAAAATTGTAACAAAAACTAACCGATATCAATCTATCGTAAATGTATCATGTGCAGCCAAGTTAAAGTACTCATCATGTATACATACTTGTACAACAGTACTGCAAACTACTTCTTCCAGCACTAACTGTGTCATTTGCTCTTTGCACAGAGTCACCAACTGTTTTCCATTGCTACTTGCTATGTTACATGATGGTTGCCAAGCTACATGTATGAAGCAAAGGCCCATTCCACCAATGGAAGCTTACCAGTGCAGCCATGCATGTACATGTACATGTACCACGGGCAAAATGTTTACCTCATTGATGCATGTACATGTATATGTACGCACTAATATGACTGCCACCAGCTCAGATCAATGACTAACCATAAAGTGCCTTATATCATCTCCTGCTCTAAAAAACACAAATCATCTAGGACAGGCACAACTTTTGAGTCAACCTCCTGAAAATCCGAGAGATGTATCTGGCTCAAAACATGTGGCTGTCCATCATTAAAAAAAAAATGTCTGCTGGTGACATATCTTCAGTAAGTTTTGAATGCTAACAGTCAGAAATCTTTCTGGATATTCAAGACAAAATATTTATTCAATAATTGACTGACGAAAAAGCCGCAAAAAAAATAATAAAAATCCGCTCATAAAATACTCTAAAATTCTGAAAGCATGATTTGTTTATTTCCTTTTGTTTCTAATGCAAATAAACATGAAAGACTGAAAGACTTTGCAGGTCACACCTGTGATCAGGCTTCATTCCTGAGGTGAGAAGTTCTCAAATCGCAGCAGAGTTTTCAGCTGCCAGGCATTGTCTGAACGTCACTCTGACTGCATTCACAGATACTCCAATACTGTCTCTCAAGGGAAGACCCAATGCTGGTTGCAATTTTAAATTTAAATGCCACCTCAACTTTGCTGAATCTCCTCTGCCACTGGCACCCAGTCTGGTTGCGTTACCGGCGCTGAAGGTAATGTGAGACTTTCCGAGTGCAGGGAGTCTTTACAGGAGCAGAACGGAAATGTACCACAGCACGGCTGCTTCCACGGACGAGGCAAGAGGCGCAGGACTCCAAACTGGTCTTGCTGCTTGACCACTCCACTCTGGTGCTCGGACACTGCATCCTGCATCCTCAGGATGACCTCTCTGACCACAGGGTCATTGGGGTCAAGGGGGCTCTGCTCTGAGGGGTCCCGGGTGAGGTCATAGACGACGGGAGGATCGTGTTGGATGACTGAGTAGCCTGTGCAGCGGCAGGCATAGGTGCCAAAGCACCCCATGGTGCCGTAAGGACCGGGCACATGCAGGACACTGCTGAAATGAACTTTGTACACACTGTCAGAATCTAGATACAGCAAAAGTGAAGAAAAAACAAATTGAGACCTGTGATAAAAAAAAGGCAAGACTGACGTGTCCATGGATGTGCACGTGGTGACCATGGAGAGACTGCACATTTTCGGATAAAAATTTCTCCAGTGCTCACAAATGACGCAACAACTCCGAGGGGTACTGTTGCTTGGCATCGAAATGCCCTCTACTGATCACACACTAAGCTAATCAACAGCAAGTGTCAATAATGTTGGGAAATACTATGTACACTGCAATTGAAAGTCAAATTGAAATTCTCTTCACACTTTTACAGGGAATTTCGTTTTCATTTTACAAAACATGACAAACTTTCCCCCCAAACAGGAAAAGATTTTCACAGATTTTCAGCAAAGTGGGAACACCTTTTCACACCAATGGGAAATGATTTTCACGCCATGTACAATGTGCGTGTGAAATGACAGTGAATTCTTTTCACAAAATTTCTCATCCCAATTCACAGTGTTAACTTTGAAATGAACTGCATGCTACAGTACTTGCTCAAAGGATAACTCAGCTGGGTCCCCTTATGGTTCCTCACAGACCTGTAATAGTTACTGATGTGTACTAACAACCCAGTAATGTCAGTCCAAGCAGCCATTTTCTCTGTTTCTTCAGAATTTATTCAGGCATTATGATAAATAAACAACAAATGTCTCGCTTTCATGAGATAGTAAGTAATTTCATACAAAGTGACAGATGAAAAGTTCCATGCCAGATGTCATCTCATTAAATGTTTCCTGTTCACTGCATAGCACTGCACTGCACTGCACTTGAAAAAAACATTGTTGTTTTCAAGTACTAAGGATCTCTGCCAAATATTGAACTTGTTAAGAGGGAATAAAGCTAGAGTATAGGCATCTCATGGTAGATGCACAAAGGGAAGATTATTAACTAAATGTAAGACTTAAGATACTTCAAGTTTTGTAAAATTTAAGGTTTCAGGAGAAACGTACTCAAAAAGTACTTGGCTGAGTACTTTTCTAGTACTTTTGTCACAAAAACATAATTTTCATTAAGCAGTAATGGTCTGACATCATTATTTGATAACATAATCTTATCCTTGTCTATGCACTATGAAATGCCCATGTTCTTAAGCTTTGTCCCTCCTAATAGCTCAACATTCAGCAGAGAACCTTGGTACTCGAGCAGTACTTGACTACAACGCTGTTTAGAAGCATTCATTCCTTGCACAACTTACTGCATGAAACAGTTAAAATACACTGTACGCATTCTAGACACACAACTTGAATACTAGTTCCTCTTACCTGAGGGTGTATAGCGAGCAGCATGCAGATAGCTTCCGCAGTAATGATACATGAACTCGTGATGGGGCCGGTTGTTCTCTCCTCTCAGTAGTGGCATTAGATCCTTTCCGTCGTACACTCTGTCGTTTGGAAGCTGTACACCTACGATGCCAGCAATGGTGGGCAGCAAGTCTGGAAGCTGGGTGGGCTCTGAGATCTGAGACCCAGGGGCCACGACACCAGGATACTTGACGATGGTGGGCACACGGATACCTCCTTCCCAAGTACTGGCTTTCCCACCTACAGGTTTAAATTCAGATAGCACATGTAGATTAATTACAGATCTCATCTGATACCCGGAATCATATCCTCAAAGATAAAAAACTTACATAAAAACTTACCATTCCATGGGTAGATTTGCACTTCACTTTTGTTGCATATTTAGGATTATGCACAACCCAGAAGAGCAATTATACTACAAAGGCAAAACATTACTTTTGAAGAAAGAAGACTTTTCAACAAGAACCTTCCTAAACACCTGCTAAAATCTGCTAAAATCTTCTAATGAACTGGAGACCCAAAGGTGCAATATCTAGGACAGGACCTTTCTTGGGGTGTGAAAGTCAGTACAGAATATCAGTAGCTACATACATACATGTACATGTAGGCTTCCAATCCCCACCAAATATCCCTGTGTAGTCCTCAAAACCCTGTGATAGATTTTATTAAGTACATGTATCTGGGAGGGTTATGGTTTGGAAATATGGGTCCACTTACAGTTGATTATTGCTACAGTTCCCATCCTAACAATCAAACATACCATGCAGGAATCATCATGTATATCAGCAGTGGCACTAGACGTTCCTTGCCGTTGTCAGGAAACCAATAAAAATGCTCACAAGGTTTTTTGCCGTTACGTGACTACAGTACACAATGTATGACAAAGAACAAATTGAATGTTCGCTATAACTAATTCAATATAACTCTAGATTCAAATATCAAATTGACATTGAACACCTTTGAAGATCCCATTCCAGCCGCCCTCTCTCTCTCCATCTTCAGAGAATTCTTCCACATGACCCCCGTTGTCTGAAGTCAGGTAAATGAATGTGTTGTCATCCACGCCCAGCCGCTTGAGAGCAGCCAAGACTTCTCCAACACTCCAGTCCATCTCCTCCACGACGTCCCCATACAGGCCATGCTGACTGTGGTTCACGAAGTGCTCGGACCTGAAGAGGGCGGTGTGGGCCTGCAGGAAGGACACCACCAGCAGGAAGGGCTGGTCGTGGGCCTGCTCCAGGAAGTCGATGGCTCGGTGGTTCAGCCTCTCTGTGAGGCAGTTGTACTGGAGGGGCTGCTCAACCACCCTCTGGTTCTCCATCAGCACACAGTTCATCATGCGCACCGACTTGATAAAGGCAAAGAAGCCGCCGCACAGCACGGCCGCCATGGCCACGCACATGACAAAGCCTGAGGGTCCGATGTAGCCATGCTTGCGCACTGTGTATGCTGCCCACAGGAGCACCAGGAAGGTGAGGACTATGTCCCGATAGATGTGGGGATCCCAGGCAACAAAAACATTGCTCTTGCCACCACAGTCCCGGAGGTTTGTCAGAGGCAGGCCAAAGAAGTAATCAAAGCCCTGACCATTGGGGTGGGAGCACTCCGTCTCTGTCTCACACATTGAGCCCAGATGCCATTTTCCTGGATGGCAGATATCAAATAAATATCAAAGATTTGTTGCTGCAATGCTCCTAAAGCAAACATTAAGTTTGCGTCAGCGTGCCTCACTTACAGGGCATTGAGTGTGAAAACATCAGTCATTCCATAAAGGCAGCATATACGGTATTCAGCATATATAAAGATGGTCCTTTATACATGTACATGCAGTTTGAAAAGCCCCAAAATCTTCTGTATGAAATATTAGAATGAGAACAGTCATAACGTTCTGTTATACTGTTTGCCTATACTACATGTACATATGTACATGTAAGTCCCCAAAATGTGTTCCTTTGGCATGGAGAAATTTGGGGGTTAAACAAGATTTTGTTAAAGTACTGACCAGTTATTCAAACCTGTGTATTTCAGTATCAGCATGGTTGGTGCAAATCAAAAATACATGTACATGTATCATGACAAAGGCATTCAAATACTGATTGTCACATCTGTCTTTGTTAATACAAAGGGGTAACTTGTGAAATGTACGTGTATTCCACTCAAACATGTAACAAATTGCTGATCCTCTACTGTCTCTCAAGAATCCCCCGATCAATATCAGAAGGCTGATGGACAGCACTATGGTACCTACACATACCTACAAGTCCAGTAGAATAGCCAGATTCCTTCAACAACTCGGCAATTGTGGTCTCATTAGATGGGAGTCCGGCCTTCGCGGAGAGAAAGGTAAACACTCGCATGATGTGCCTTGAACCCATTCCTACGTAAACAAGCAAACAACACTGTCAAAAATGGAAAAGAGATCTACAGGGGAGTCAGGTTGGCGCAGTGTTTCTTTCCTTGCCTTCCACCTCTGGGGGCCTGGGTTCGAATCCGGTTCGGTGCTAAATGAGCTGTTGAATTTTCATATATAAATAAATAAATAGATAAATCAATCAACAAATAAACAGTACTATATGCAGAGCTTAACAACACAGGGCCAGATACAATGTACCAGTAACTACTTGGTACATGTACCAACAGAACGTTTTTACATGCGTGTATGTTTCTGTACATGGTATTCCATTCTTACCATATCTGACAGGCAGCCGTCCAGTCATGAGCGCTGCTCGACTCGGTGTACACAGCGGTAGAGCCAGATGGTGGTTGAGTTTGGCACCCTCCTGGGCTAAACGGTCAATGTTCGGGGTCTTCATGGTGTTGTTCCCAAAGCAGCCCAGATCACCCATTCCCACATCGTCCATAATGAATATGACAAAATTAGGCTTTTTTTTGGATGTACATGTACCTGTTGTGCCAGCACAGAATATTTGACAACAAGTGGCAAGAGTCAGGGTTGAAAATAACCAAGTCAGCTCCATTTTCGTGGTATTGCACAAGAAATATAAAATATTGAAAAGGTGAAGCACACTCCGACTTTTGGGTATGTAGGTAGTGGGGCAAAAAATGAGGCGTTCACGCACTGTATACGTGTACTTCCAAAGATTAGTGTCGCAACTAGAAAAGAGAAAGTATGGCCAATCCTTGTCTGCTTTCACAATAGATCCATATCCAGGCTAGAGGATTGGTTTCAGCCGTTGAAACACTCAAGATTTCCTGTTCTGCTGTTCTGACATCGATGATTTCCGACAGGTATTCTCAGCTGGGTGCAATTTTGGATGTAAATATAAGTTTCGTCTCTTGGGTGGTTTCACTGGTCCTGAGAGGGCAACCGCCTACATTTAGAAACAAAAACCAACCAAATCTGTAAGCATAAAGGCTTTACATGTACTTGCCATCACATATCAAACAAGTCAGCAGTGAATTTGACTCTGATTCTTTACATAACATTTCTTCATTCACATGCTCCAGTACACAGCAGATGGTATACTGGGTGAAAGTGAAAAGTGATATGCATGTATGTGCCGGTGTACACGTACATGTATGTCAAAAGTTCATTCAAGTTACTGCGATGGTAGCTACATGTACTTCTACAGCCCCAGGATTTGTTGGAGTGTGAACTTCAACACAGATGGGAAACGAATCCCAGGTTGAACCACATCTACAGGTATATATGAGACAGACATGCAGCAGTGCTTCAAGGACACAACTTGTAGAGTGAGTTGTAGGCCTGCAATAGTAATCCAGTCATTTATTCACCAGTGTAACCATAAACAAACACCTTGAAAACAAACACCTTGTATAATAAATACAACAGTCCGCAGTTCATGCAAAACATACCGGTACGTGAGAGCGGGACACATAACACATGTCAATGCAATGTTTACAGTGTACAGCAATACTCGTGAACTTGAATACGTTGAGTACAGCAATACTCATGACCTGAATTCTAACCCACGATACAGAGCCACGCTTTGGGTCAAAAAGATCATACAAAATTGACAACGTATGATTTGTAAACCAGACTCACCCAGTCCTGGATGATTATAATAACTTGCACAAAGCAGGCTATTTCATAATACTGTTGATTATGATGGATAAATATGATTAGCTTCCTGCTTGAGAGCATTGACAGTCCACCTGTTAAGCCTAGGCCGTTCCAGATCGCTGATATGCACAGGAAAATGTGCCTGTCAAGTGAGGGCACACTTGCATCCTCCACATTACTGTATAACCTTTGAAAATTATATATTTTTATTGAACCAGTACATGTGTGTACCAACTAGCGTACATGTACATTGTACATCTACTGTACAGTGTACATGTACATTTACATGTACATGTATCAAGTGAATGGGAGTGTTCATCATTTCTGTACTAAAGATCAACAACGACATGTATAAATTTACATATCATTAACTCTCCAGTGATTGGCAAGTTTTATCAAATCCCTTCACAACATCCAGTTATTTGTTTAAGCTTCAACTGCACTGTACATGTACATGCAGGTGCAATGAAGAACAACCTGGAAAAAGATTATCTAGTTGTACATGTACAGTGTATCAGTGCTAAATCACCTACTCACTTTCTCTTTCAGAACTGATACTTTTCCGAAGTTGGAAATGAAAAAAAAAATTGATGGCAGTTTAGGTGAAGAAAGATGCCGGTACATGTATACATGAACAATGTACGGTATGTACATGTACATGTACAATAACAACGGAAGTTGTTAATGCTTCACTGAAGACTTTCTCAGGAGTACTGGTAGCAAGAAGAACTGTACTGTCAGACTGTATGGACTCGATCTGTCTTCTATTTGTACTGGTAGTTTGTGTTTAACCAGCGGTAGGTGTAATGCTGTATGGTACCCCCCCAGTATATGCATGTGCGTGTACTTGAACAGAAGTCAGACGTGGTATGCAGGCCCTGGCCTCATCTACAGTGAACATGTACACGTACAATACATCTGCTCAGGAAATTAGGAAGGCAAAAAAGTTTACACCTGTAGGTATTCAAAACTGAAACTTGAGCTTTCAAACAAGAAACACATCAAGTGTTTATTTTCAAGTAAAATACCTGCGCATACAGAGTAGTACTTGAACCAATATGTACTCTGTACATGTACATGCACAGGAACAGGTCTGTACATGTGTCATTTGTACATAAACCAACAGGCATGGTCCATTGCCTGTTGATAAAAACATCCAGGAAGGGTTTTTTCCCCAGCATTGAGAATGGGGTATTGCCTGGAAAAGAAAATCAGGACGTCCAAGGTATGAAGGATTTTACAGGTAAATGTACATGTACTTTCAAGCAATGTGTCCAACATGGCCTACAAACATGACAGGGTAAGCATGATGCCCAGATAGTGAGATACATGTACAGTACTGGTATCCCCTCTGTCCCCCTCAAGCCCCGCAGGTACATGTACATGTACAAATTACATGTACATGTATAAGTATGACAAAGTGAGCCTTTACTTTGAGTAATTTCCAAACTACAGGAACCGTATACAGGTACATGTACTGTACGTGCATATGCATGTACATGTACATGTACCGGGCTAAGTATATGTACATGTTCACTGTACATTTGTATAAATGTACAGTACATGTATGATTGTGCGGTACGTTCTGTAAAAAACCCATGTACATGTTCACGAACATGCCAGTAGGTACATGTACACGAACATGCCAGTAGGTACCGGTACATGTACATGTACATGTATGACGCATTCTGGCTGAAAAACGAGTTTCTTGAACTTGTACACTGTAATATGCAGATGGGGAAAATCAAGTTGAAAGAAATAGCAGGACGGTGGAAATACATGTATTGGCAGGGCAGCAAAACTTTGCAGAGTGGCACAATATTTAGACAGGTTGGCCCACCCTGCTAAAAACTCACAGGGAAAACATCGCAAGGATAACAGGTTGGCCCACCCTGCTAAAAACTCAGTCACAGGGCAAACATTGCAAGGATAACAGGTTGGCCCACCCTGCTAAAAACTCACAGGGAAAACACTGCAAGGAGAACAGGTTGGCCCACCCTGCTGAAAACTCACAGGGAAAACACATAAGGATAAAGCATGTCTTAATTTTGCAAAAAAAATTCCTAAGGTGGATTACATGTACTGCTGGTTAAACTATAGTGCGTACATGTGCACTGTACATACGTGCATTTCTGTAATACAGGCAATTCATACATGTAATAGCTCGCTTCCAAGAGTTTGCAATGCACTGACCAATCACAATGCATGCAATTTGTCGACCCAATGCGCATTTGGAAAGGATCGACAGATTTCGGGCACTGTGATTGGCCAATGCATAGCGAACTCTTGGAGGTGCACTATTAAATTGTGAATCGCCTGTATTACCCACAAACATGTTTGCATACGATGTACCGGTACATGTAGGTACATGTATGATATACATGTAGGTGTACATGTGTACATGTATTTTGTAATGTGTATGTCTATTTACACATGTACATGTACCGGTATTTTGTAATGTGTACATGTATGTCTATGTACACAGTACATGTATGGTTTAACACAGATCAATGACTTTGAGCAGAAATAAAAAACTTTAGCCTTCTGTGTTACAAGCAAACACTTGCTAGCAGATAATGAAGATAGGCAATGTCAACTTACAAATCTGATACAGCTGGCCAAAAATAACATTACAGTGATCAAAAATAGCATTACAGTGATCAAAAATAGTGCACCTGGATCTAAATTTGACACACTTTCTGAAGTGGACAACTGAAGCAAATCAAACAGTTGAGGTGGCAATGAACTTTAGGCAAACATTAGATCACATCTTGCCAGAAAAGTCTGTCGAAAAGTTACTACTTTAATGAACATCAGAGTCTGCAGTACCGTACACTGGCAGACTCTTCAATGTTCTCTCCAAATTTCTTGTGAGGCTTTCTTCACAAATCCACTAGGATATCCAAATAACTACATCCATGTAAGTAAAGCCTCCAAAATACACCTGGATAAGCTTTAGGTGCTGGAGAAATGTACATGTACTGTATCCTGTAGTACATACAGGTACTCTACATGTTAGGGGACGAAGTTTGGAAAAGCTTTTCCAAGTACATGTACATCTACATGTTACAAAGTAACAGCACAAAACCCATTTCCTCCAAAGAACAAACTGCCTCAAAACATTTCACCTTTGTTTAGATGCAGCCTGCAATAGTTATGCCTCCCATGTACAAACCTGAGTGTGAGCCTACTGTACATGTACAAGTACATTTTGTACAATTTTGTTATGGTAAATATGGACAGTACCAGTGTGCAGGTACAGTCGGTACATTGTAACTGTATTACCGTATGTGTATGTAAACACAGATTTCACTAAATCATTGTGAATTGAAGAGGGTTAAAGGGATTTACATGTATGCCATGAAATTAAGGTACCTGGTACCTATACAATGTACATGTATATTACTGCAACCCAAGAAATTGCACATTTGTGTTTCAGTCAACCTTACCTTCAATTTTTGTTTTACTATTTTAATCTACATTTGAATCCGGTTTGTTTTTTTTAAGCTAATGCAAATTTGCATACATGTACCGGTACATTCATGAACAAAACTATGTTATCCTAGGCACCGAACCTCAATGTTGCATTGATTTGTGCACAAAAAACTGCTGGCATTCTAAAAATATTTTGATACAGTGTACATGCACTCAATTCTTAGGGAGTTTAGAAATTTTTACTGTTCACTTAATTCAGTAACTCCAAAAGATTTGTTTTCAAACACCAAAGAAGAGTATAAAGACATGAAAGATGCACAAAAAGTGAGGCTCAGAAAATTCATTGCAGGGTTCCTTTAACCATGTTAGCTCTGTCTGAGTTGAATTGTCAACTAATACATGTACAAGTACATGTGTAAGCTACTCATTAACAGTATACACGCCCAGTCCTCTTACCAGTCCATATACATGTACAGTTATCACAGGCATCACAAATTTACTACAGACCAGCACTTTCTTACCAATTACATGTACCTGCACCATGCCCACTTCACAAATACGGCATACTGTACATGTGTACTGTGCATATATTTCTTACCCGCAAAACTTCATTTGGTGGTGAGTTGAAACTGTACAGTGTATTTACATATGGTATACTACAAGTTACGAACTGTGCACTGAGTGTGTACTGATATGGTAGACTACAAGTAACGTACATGTACTGTACACTAAGTGTGTACTGTACCAGTATTTAACGAATACATGTAAATTCAAAATTTTGCAAAATTACGGGAAGGTGACACTGTAACAGAGAACTACAAAAAAATAACTGAAGCATAATCAAACAGCACATGCAAAGATTGATAAAATGAATTGTTCTATCAAGGCCAGGCTGACGTGCCTACTGTTAATGAAATTAACGTCATCATTTCATCCCAGAGATTCTTGTCCACATGAGCTCTGATTCAACTCATCATGCAAAGAAAGGCAAGCATATCAAGGTCTGGATATGCAGTCATTATGCTACTAATATACAGGTGTACGTGTGCAGTCTGCACATGTACTTGTAGGTGGTTGGATGACTGACCTAGTGTACAATCATTCACATCAATCCCCTTGAGATCATCTACAATGTATCAGGAAAAGGGACACATGCTATGGTCCAAGACAGGAGCCAGACTCAGTGACACTGAATGGAAAGGCTGCTTACTGTATTACAGTATTACATGTACAACCTGAAAATGCACAGAATTTGATTCAAGACCAGCAGAGAAGAAAGATGACACACTGCTTTTGCAAAAATACAAAATGTATATACATGTATGAACAATACATGAAAATGTACAGTACATGTACCAGTATAGAGGGATCCCAATGCGATGCTTTAAACGGCGATCTGCGCACTTCCGCGTTTGGAAACGAGGCTGTACATGTACATGTATGTGTCAGCTTCAATTCTTAATACGATAAGACGATTCCAAGTAAGGAGTTAAGACACAAAATACATAAAGGAGTGCTAAATTCAGACTTTTCTGGCTGCAAATTTTTGTTGAAGAGTCTTTCAGGATGACTCGACACGTAAAATCAAAAGAAAAAATAATGACAATTGACTGCGAACTGAAGTACATGTACCTGCGATGGTCGTGCATTTTGTGCAGTGGGCGTACATGTAGTTTAAACTGAAGTGGCATCACACTTACAAACCGGATACTCCATGTACCGTGTGGACTCCGCGGGCGCGCATGACAAAGTTCAACACAGAGAGCCTCGGTTTTGATGCAGATATGCGCAGACAGCGCTAACGTGAAATCCCTCTATTGCTTGGACTTGTGGGTAGGCATACACAGCATTCAGGGGACAAGTTCTTTTGTAAGGGAAATTTGAAGCGAGTTGTGGGGACATTTTTGAGTCGCCACAACGTTTTCGGTCCCCACAAAATACAGGTGAAATGTTGAGTGTATGTCCCCACAACTACGGTGCGGGAGCGTGTGATGTCTGACTACTAAACACAAAATTTGTAAAACCTCATTTCAGTAATGCATCTTAAATCTTGCCATTGTTCCTCCTTTAGTCATGAATACTGGACCCGATTGCAACAGCTCACATTTTTTTTGATATATGTTTTCCAACTGAGGACGTCCTTGATTGCATATATGTATCAAAAGAGTACAGTACATGTGTACCTTATACTCCTATCCGCATTACCCGGTCAAAGGGGCTACACACTTGTTGAAATGTACAGTGTGTATATATGACAAACACACATGTAAAAAGGAAAGTTACCGGTATGGAGACACTTTGTGTCCCCACAATGTTTTCTGACTTTTCTGACCAAAGAAACAGTCCCCTTAATGTACATGTAGGAAAGCCTACCCATACACACTTAATGGGTAAATCATACATGTACATGTATTTATATGCTTACATGTACATGTACATGTACATGTATGTACATCCTCCAACTTGGCAGAACTTGACCCACCAGGTATGATTTTGCATGTAAATTTTTTTACCAGTTCTTATCACTGTGATCCAGCCCAGTCTACCATGCACACATATGCATAAATTTGTACTTGACTGGGTTTTTTAAGTCACCAAACCAAGCAGTAATAGGAAAAGCAGGAAGTAATAACTTTTATCAGTGCAAGTACTGCACGTGTGTACATACATACCGGTATGTACATGTACATGTTCTATTATGATCAATATAATACATGTACAGTACATGTAGCTTCTCACATATAGGAGTATCTCCAGCCACGATTTAGCAAGATTTAAGAGAAAATATACAATGTATGTATGTACATGTACATGTATCGTGGAGTATGTATCGTGATCGGGGAGTACCCTAAAAATGTCTATTGATGTAACAGATACATGTTAATGTATTTGTGCATCCATCAAATTCTCATTGTGAAACTCCTCGACAAAATTATGCACTGACATTTATTTACTGTCGATGATCGATCGTCCCTTCAACATTTTTCTTTTTTCAGCTTCCGGTACATGTACATGTACATGTATGTGCGAATTAAAAGCTTTTCCAGGGAGAATGCGGGAAAAATGTCAAGAGAGCATAAAGTTTTACTTTACAGACTACAAATAAAAATGATCCGGTCGAAATTGTCTAGAAAATGGATAAATGATTGCTGTTCATTTGTGATTGATGTTGGACGTCTGATACGGGCATTAATGACGACTTCAATCAACTTTCGCCGAGAGGGCATTATCAAAAATATGGAGCCTGAAAAAGTACCGGTACTGCGCTCTTTACAGTGTGTTTTTTAAAAAAAAGGAAACCAAGATTAGTTTTTTAATATCTTGGACATGGTTAAATATTTTAGAAACTGGCAAAAACCATTTATTAATTAATTTCTTATGACACCAAGAAATCCTATTTACTGTCGCAGGGGTCCATTTTGGGATCTTTATTTTTTTCAATGTATATTAATGATTTTGATAAATCTTCTAATATACTATCTTTCATTTTATTTGCTGATGATAGTAGTCTATTTTAAAACCACCGTGATATAAATGTGCTTTTCAATACCGTTAACCAAGAAATAGAAAACTATCATCATCATGAATTAAAGCTAATAAGTTAACTCTTTATGTTAAAAAATTAATTTCATGTTTTTTAATAACAGGCACTATCAGGAACTTCCTGTTGTCAGTGTGGATGGAATTAACATTACAAAAACAGACTGTATCAAATTTTTGGGCACATACATTGATGATGGTCTTACATGGAAACAGTATGTTAATCACATTGCCACTATTGTATCGAGAAACATACGTGAAGGTATGATTTCTAATATGAAATGGTTCTTTCCCCACAATATATTAATGGTTTTACACAACACCCTTACATTACCATACATTTCACATGGAATTCTTGCATGGGGCAATAGTGGTGTTGGTCATATTAACAGAACATTAGAATTATAGAAAAAGGCTTTACATACATGTATAATAATGTTAACTTTCATGAGCATAGTTATCAGGTAATCCTCTTTTTTAACAATTTTAATACTATGAAAATCACTGACATCTACTCTTTCCAGTTGGGCTCTTTCATGTATCATGTGTATCAACTCAATAACTCTCAGCTATACCGCAATCAATTTGCTCGATGTTTTTAAGAAATGAAGATTTTCTTCACCACTTTACACAAGGTAAAGTGATGAATTCCATCACTCGTTCGCACTGTACTCTACTAAGCTCAATATCTATTTTGAAACTCTTGGGTCCCAAGTTATGGAGTTCCATGGATCTTTCCTTGAAATACTAGTCTCTCAGCATTCAAACACAAATATAAAAGTAAATTACGAATTAACTATGTACTGTTAGTAACAATTAATTTCTTTCTCACGGGGTTGCATCATATCACGCAAAGGCTACATGGTCATGTAGGCCTACATCATACATGTACCGGTACATGTGCTGTATTTAGGCCTAATATTTGTTGTGTTATTTGTAAAGTGTTAGTGTGTTGTTATGTTAGGCCTACTTACATTCAATCCAAACATCACAAGATCAGACAAGATACCGGCCGGCAGTCCTGACTCCCTCTCGTACACAAAATGGGTGGGCTAGACGGTACATGTACATCACTAGCACTACATGTGCACCGCACTGCACCGATCGATTTCCAGTGTGGTGTAGCTTTTCCACAAACGCTACATCGCCTTGTGGATGCTATTATATTATATGATGCTATGCTGATCAGGGTACCTTCACAATCGTTCACAAACATGACAAATCCATTTTGTAACGTCGTGAGGGGCGCAAAAGACAAAGTTTGGCACAGAAATCAAAATAGGTTCTTTAATCATTCTAACCCGCACAAAATGATAACAAAAATCAAAATGTTTAAAAAATAAAAATCCAGAGCTTAGTCGTTTTTGAAAAAAAAAGTAAGAAAATGGTAATAAGGATGTTCTTACCCATTTAAAAAATGTTTTCGTCCGTCCAAACTAGTCTGGTTTCTCCTACCACCTTCAGCCACACTTGATATGCGCACTGCTATCAACGACTTAAGCTATCCAGCGTGGATGTACCGGTAATACCAAAAACCAAAGCCATAGCCACAAATACCAGGTTCAGACAGGGCTGCCGTGTGGGTTGTGCAGTGTCTTTCGCATGGATTTGCGTACGTAGGATGTATCCCACGTGCGTACATACTAGATCGTACGGTCGTCAACATCGCATGCCGCGTTTATAAATGCCGTTCGGGCTAAAATAGTTTTATTTGTAGAGTTCTACTGTTTGTATTTTGAGTGGCTACTTGGAAAATCCTTTCATCAGTCAAATGATAGGATTTCATTGCAACATCTTGCGGCGGAATATTATTTCATATTCATTTCGACTCGGAGTTGCTTCTTGTCATCAGAATTCGGATATGGTTCGTGACACGACGTTCAACATGATTACGTTTTCGGGATTTTAAACATGTTAACAGGGGACTGAGTTTGTACTAGCTGGGCTTACATTATCTGTCACCAGGTCACTACCTCCCAGTCCCCTCCTTCCTCCATGCTCTGACATTGTTACTTATTACCTGGGCATATATGGAAAGACCGTTATAATTACATGTAGCCACTGTACATTATGTTATTACGTGTACCTTCATGTACAGGCTACACATTGTGTACATGCACTTGCAGCAGGGGATGAATTAATATTCATTCTCAATAAAACCGAAATACTTGAATTTGTTAGCATTGAGATACATAGAAAACCACTTGGATATTAGAATTTTTCAGACCTCTTTCATAGATCTAGAGTTTGTGTATAGGGTGTCAAGTGAACTTTCTCTATTTGCCATCTTAAAGTGCCTTAAACATGTTTAAAAGCCAACATTTGTGACATTAGCTGAGAAATATCTAGATATTCATGTAGAAAAAACATTTTTTAGACCAGTCTCATAATAGAGTTTGTGCAGAGGGTTCCAACTGTAGCAGTGTAGTTTTGCTGGCCCAACTACATAATTCTTGTGACTAAAGAAAGTTTTTCAACCTGCTCCAAGTTTTTGTGGCTCACACCCTTACAGAATTTATCCAAAATATGCCAATATGACATATTATCCATGACACAAGCATGTGGGGAAGATTCCATACATGTATGGACAAGACGGACACCATTTGACACCCTGTGCACAAACCTTATAGTTATTTGGTCTGAACAATTGTGTGTTTTCTAAGTGAATACTTCAATATTTTCAGTGCTAAATTGGACATTTATTGCTTTACGATGGCTAATTGGTCACTGCAAGGATAACTACTGTACATGTAGTGGGATCTACATGTATACGCGGAGGTCTTACCAGATTCTGCAATGGCATGAGTCACCACAAAGAAATGATGTTGGCATGTAACTAAGGCACACACTTGCAGTGTCACTGTTTGCTACAGTCGGGCTGGTCCTACTCTAGTACCAGTTGGGACTGTCCCAACTAAAACAAGTTGGGATGGATCCTGCATGTATGTAGCTGGGGCGTAACGAAACAATACACAGCTATTATATTCGTGATGGTGAAAATTTCCAAGACCCTAAAACGCTGCCCATGTTCATTTGCTGAGAAGGTTGTAAATGCAAAAGCATAACGGGAGGCAGTTCACTGTCCAGAATCCACTGTCCAATGGTAATAAGGCCTATTCTGTTTCATCTTGTTTGAACCTACAATATGGTCCCAGATTAGGGCCTGTCTCGGTTCTCCTATTGGGGAGTAGTCCATTTGTAAACTACATGTATATGTATCCCTACACCCATAGACCCCCTGAGTATGATGTCTTGTTAGAGGGCATTTCTTCCTTTCTTAAGGATAGGCTCGAGTAAACCTTTTGTGCATTCATTGTAATCAAATTTGAAATAACAAAGAATAGCCTCCGACTCCGCCTTAATGCAAGGGGTCTATAAATGTGGTGGAAAATCAGAACCATGTTTTAGTCTTGCCCTATGATGAGGTTTTCTTGGGCCTTTCCACAGTATTTATCATTCACATTAGGTTGTAAGTATAACTTAGCTGTGGCAAGGACAACCTTGAACCAACAGACTAACTGACCTGTACGGTATCTTCTGGCATTTTTCTCACCCATCACACACTGCCCTCAAGATGAGGGAATGGGTGCTTCTTAATAAGGGACCCATTCCCCATGCCTTGGGCAGAAGTTGAGTGGCAGCTTTCAGCATGCTTGTGCTGTACTGTGTGTGCTCCCAGGCCACCCTCTGGTGTGGGGCAGGGTACATGTACAATGTATGTCCAGATTGGCAGTTGTTGATCACTTGATACTGGCTTTCATCAAGCCTATATGATCTAAATTATTTGAAGTTCATTTTGTTGTATCCTGGTTTTTTGGCATTTTATTGGTTATCTTGCATTGTTCAGGCAACAAAAGTCCGCATTGAAACAGACACCTTTGGTGAGTTGGAGGTTCCAGCTGATAAGTACTATGGAGCTAACACAGCACGATCCTTCATGAACTTTGACATTGGTGGAGAAAGGGAAAAGATGCCGGTATGTACACATGAATGATATCCTTAAAGCTTGCCCCCATCCTTATGCCTTATGATCCCATTCCTATATTTTGGTAGCACAGAGATTCCATGTGTACATGTATGTACAATTTATGAATTGTAGAAAAAAGTGTGGCCCAAACATGGTCAAAGGTCAATAGTTATTTTGCTTGATCTTATAACTTTTATTTTTTGAGTCTCCATTCAGTAGGATGTTTTACATGTAGGTTGAGGTCCTTAATTGTGGAAAAAAATCATTTTGGTTTGATATTTCTCACAAGAGACAGGAATTCGAAGTTAAAGTGAAAATCAGAGGTCAAAAATTCATTACTCGTAACTTACAAACCCCATGACCCCAAACACAAAAATTTGGTTTTGGGAGTTTTGTTGTGATGAAACAATGTCAGCAACTTTCAAGAAAATCTGTGATGTTTAACCCAGAAAATGCTTGATCTGACATGAAATGACCCCTTCCCATACATAAACACAAAATGCCAGGCAACTGGCAAAAAAAATAAAGTAAGAAAATGGTAATAATGATGTCCTTACCCATTGAAAAAATGTTTTCGTCCGTCCAAACTAGTCTGGTTTCTCCTACCACCTTCAGCCACACTTGATATGCGCACTGCTATCAACGACTTTAGCTATCCAGCGTGGATGGTAATATCAAAAACCAAAGCCATAGCCACAAATACCAGGTTCAGACAGGGCTGCCGTCTGGGTTGTGCAGTGTCTTTCGCATGGATTTGTGTATGTAGGATGTATCCCACGTGTGTACATACTGGATCACACGGTCGTCAACTGCCAGTACCATCATAACTACATGTACAGTGCTGTACTGGTATATATGTACATGTACCGTATGCACGGAGTAACAGATAAAGCATTCAATTTTTCCTGCCGCTTGCCTTCAAATATTCTCTTGTAAAAATCTTTATCTTGTGAAGCTGCCACTGATTCGTGCATTCGGTGTGCTCAAGGGTGCCGCAGCCGTGGCAAACCAGGAATTCGGACTTGACACACACAAAGCTGAGTACATCATTAAAGCTGCAAAAGAGGTGAGAAACCAGGGGGAAAATGTATTTCCCATTTGACCTTCGAAAGTATTCAGTGAGAAAATGAAAAAAACTTGTGTGAAACGACTCGTATGCACTTCCAGAATAAAGATGTTACCCACACTTTTGTGCAATGCTTTGTTTACCTTTTGTTTAAACATTTACGTACCGGTGCTTTCTGCTTTTACATTTATCTTAGCGCTGGTGTTTTTATGGCATACATTTACCTGTACTCACAAGTGCATATTTACCTGCAACTGGGGACCCCCTATTGTTCCTCTTTTGTTTGTACTTCAACTGTTTTAGAAGACCACCCATATGTTTTGTACACAGTTGTCAATCGGGGACCTTCTGTCAATCGGGGACCTTATTGTCCTCTATTTTTCAGGGTCCCAAATTGAATGCAGAAACAAACTCGTGTGCACACTCTTTGCTGGCTTTGATGGGTACCTGAGCACAGAATTACTGTGAGACTGAGCAAAGAACATGTTTCATTTGTCTTCGATCAAAAAGTTCTTCTTGAGTGACGTTTCTATGTTCACAAACCGCTCAATGCTCTGCTTGTTTTCTGCCGCATCCTTTAGCAATGCTTACCCTTCAGTAACCTTTTATACAATCATTTCAAGACCCTTCAGTAACCTTTAATACAATCATTTCAAGATAATCACTTTTTTGAATCAAGCATGAGATGTTTTTCAACAGAATTATCAGCCAAATGATGCAAGTGGCAGTTGGCAATTGCCTAAAGTGTTACAGAAAACAGGTCCTTGCAATTTCTGAGTCTGTGAACCTAGGCTTCCTCTCTGTTTTGTTTTTTTTTTGCAAAAGTACTTCCAACGTCTCGACAGACAGCAAAGTTTGGCCAAAACATGAATGTCATTGTGCTTTGCACTCACCTTAAGACTCTTTTGTTTTCAAAGTTTTTATCTCACATGTCTTTATTTGCTCCTCAAACATGTCAAAGGAGCCTTCAGTACCTTTCGTTGTTTGTCTTAGTTTAAACAAACGTTCCATACCTGCATTTCTCATTTGCTTTTCTTTCTACTCAGCTCGAGGATGGCAAGCTAGACGATCACTTTCCCTTGGTGATTTGGCAGACAGGGTCTGGCACCCAGACTAACATGAATGTCAATGAGGTGATTAGCAATCGGGCCATTGAGATGATGGGAGGAGTGATGGGCAGCAAGTCACCCATTCATCCCAATGATGATGTGAACAAGAGTCAGGTACATTTTCTCTCATCCTCAGCACAATCTGTGCTAGGGATGTTTCATTCAATATGGGAGATTGTTGTGCTAGCTCTGCAGGTTATATCTGACTGCACTTGGCTTCCACTGGAAATTACACATGTTTGTGGACAGGATGGAAGCATTGTCTATGCAGACAACCACTTCAAGTGTGATCCATAGACCCATCTATTCAGGTGGAGCCTAAGTGTTGGTCAAAATGAGAAATGTATGATGAATTTCCTTCCTCCAGCAAAGTAAGTAACACCTATTTCAGACAGGCCAAACCAAAAAAAAAGCAAATTGTGAACTAAGTACGGCAAAAGTTGGACGTCTGAAACAATTAGGAGTGACCAGGCATGCTAGCAGTTGAAAGAATGACACTTGAAGACACCAGAGCTACAGTAAAATCCCGATAAATTGAAGCCTGTTAAGTCGAAATTCTGTTTACCTCGACGTCATTTTGTATTCTCAACAAAGAATAGGCCCGTATGTACAATAAACTATCCGTAATTCAAAAAGTCAATACCACTAAAGCCGCTTATCTTGAAGTTTTGGCAGGCAAATTAAAAAAAAACACTAAAGAATGATGAATGAATGATGATGAAAAGTGATGAAAGAAAGCTTGCCTTCATTATGCAAAAGTATGTATTTAGTTCGTCTTTCTGAAACAAAATTTAGTTGGGTCAACCTAGAGTTGCTCTTAATTCTATTTAGTTTGGCGTGACCCTAGAATGCCTGTCTGAAATGAGTGTTGGGTTCACGCACCAGCCTGTCTTGCATCTCTGCTTTTTGTTCTGCATTTTATTAAAGACTTGCTAAGGAAAAGGTTCCCTGTAACTGTGCCATCAAATTAATCAACATGAAAGTTTCTTTTAAAAATTGATTAAAATCCACAATTTTTCCACCTTACTAGAGTTCCAATGACACTTTCCCAACCGCCATGCATGTAGCGGTTGCCATGGAGATCCACAGGTGCTTGCTACCTGGCTTGCAGACACTCCATGACGCCCTGCAACAGAAAGAAGAAGATTTCAAAGATATCGTTAAGATTGGCAGAACACACACCCAGGTGGGCTTGCTTGAATTGTTTGAAATTACATGTAGGTTTAAGAATCCAGGAGAACGTTGTAGTTTCCACTCATATGTGTTACAAACTGCCGTTAGTATGTTTTCCAGCTCTCACTTATGTACCTCCAAGTAAATGGAGAGAGAAGGAACGGAACAGTAATGATGGCCGGCGTGTCTTATCTTTCTTGGCTTTGCTATAAAGTGTTTGTCATATCTGCTCTATTACATTGTGGATGAGCCATTTGTAAGATATGCTGTGTCCAAATGACTTGGCTGTGGCTTGAAATAACACATAGAGATATGCAATCCACTAGCTAGTGGCTTACATTGGTGTGTTACAAATACAGATATGGAAGCCACTAGCTAGTGGCTTCCACTGGTGTGTTGTTACCGGCCATTACCAAGTAGTGTGGATGCAGCCTTACCTAACGTACTTATATTGTGAGTTGAATCTGAATCAGCATTAGGGATGCTACTTCAAATGTTTGGCATGTTTTCACTTTGAATTCAACCAAGACAGTTGCAAATCCTTGTACAAGCCTAGATGCCTGACATTGCTCATGTACAGGTGATAGGAGCACAAATGCCTTGCCTGCAGTTTCCCAGCATAAGAATTGCTTATGATCACACAATGTAGCAGCAGTGTATTGAGTTGAGTTAGACTTGAACTGTAAAGGTGCAATAGGCATCATGCAGATTGAACACCTTGTGTTTGGTCATTAGCAGTGGTGCCCTCGCTTATATTTTCTGAAAGTGGCCTTTTGTCTTGATGCGTCATTAGGACGCAACACCTTTGACCCTTGGCCAGGAGTTCAGTGGGTATCGGACACAGATAGCCAATGGCATAGCTCGGATACGTGATACCCTTCCGAGGCTCTACCAGCTGGCAGCAGGTAGGCCCGAAACTGTTACACTTTAATAATAATGAAATGCATTATATTGATGGAAATACAATTTATCGTCCTATTTCAAAGTTGTATTCATGGGTAAATTGGCCTCATTTATTTTTTACTGTCCGCGATGTTCAGCGGTCTGAGTTGTATCTGCTGGCACCCACTCTCCACAAATATTCTGGTGTGACAAAGTATTTAGAACATGTTGAAATGTTAATGAAAGGGTAAAAAATTGGAAAATGGGGGGAGGTGGGAGCCTTCTATAGAATAATCCGATTAGACGCCATAACTCGTGCAAATTCTTCAGTTTGATTCACACGTGCATTTGGCAAATCATGAAACTTCATTGGTCGAAGAGGCACTTAACAATACGTGCCACCTGTCCACGAGCGTTGTGCCACTGCAGTAATGGCTTCTACATGTAATTCTGGATGTTGAATAACACGATACATTCCATGTCACTTGCTGTGTACAGATACACAGAGCTGCATTCATCACAGAGCTGTGACCAAATAGCAATTATTGACTGCCAAGCGGGATCATATCATATGCCCATGTATACTAGTTAGCGCTTCCACCACAGTTTATTATTATCAATTGTACTGGTGAAAGTAGAACAAGTACCAATACATTCAAGTAGTCTGGTCAGCGGTCTCTGCATTATGGTTTGATTGTGGGGAGGACACTTGTCTCTGATATCATGATGTGATACATATATGTACACGAATGACTGAGGGTGACATACATTTTTATTGACCAGTCACATGATCATGCTAGGCCAATGAAATGCAGTATTCAAGACAGAGGTATAACAAAAGCCTTTATCTGTCCCTATTTGATGTTGTGTCTCCTGAAATTTCTTGAAACTAGTACAGTTCTCTGATTTTGACTTGGTGGACTGCCACAGCGTTTAAACTTTTCTGTTATCTTTAATCTTTAACTCATCAATTCCAAGTTCCGAAATGTTAATGTTGATGTTGAAAGCTTCCCAGTTCTGATTATTGACAATAAACTTTGACGACTACATTCCCAAGCAAAAAAAAAAAAACACCACCTTGATTTGGATTTTAGTAGATTCTAGATAGTTTTGATTAAATGGAAACAAATAGAGTGGATCATGATGATACCATGGGTAACAAGATTTGTAAATTATTCATCTACATGTAAATCTAACACCTGTCATGGAGGCTGACTGTACCTACATGTACTCTCTGCATTTATGTGGCTAATATTAACTTGCCCGCTGTCTCTCAGGTGGGACAGCAGTTGGAACTGGATTGAACACAAGGATAGGCTTTGCCGAGAAAGTAGCTGAAAATATTAAGAAGCGCACAGGTATGGGATTAAGTTTCTTATGCCAGTTACTGCCTTGTTGAACTAGATGATCACTCGGAAGGTCTGATGGCTACATCTTAACCAAGTCTCTTGCAGTTAGTTTGTCAGGAGTTATGGTAACGGTGGACATGGTGGACACCCCATAAGATTTAGTTAAGTGCTGAACAATGCTTTACAGCATTGATTAGTGAAATCAGCGGTAGAGCCATTTACATGTAGCATTAAGTTTCCTGTTGATTATGTCAGTGGTGTTATTCAGGACAGAAGACCTGGAATAATTAATGGATCCCAGAATTGATCGAGTCAGGCATTTACAGCTGTGGGCAGTTTACAAAAGAATGATTTTGAGATGTCTAAGAGTTGAAGAGATTTATACTGGTGTTTGTGTGGTTGTCAAATGCCATTTTCTTTGGGACAAAAGTAATGTGATACTGAAGTGGTGCTAATCAAACTCAATCCCTTACTGCCTTGCTAGGTCTCCCGTTTGTGACAGCTCCCAATAAATTTGAAGCCCTAGCCGCAAGGGACGCCCTCGTGGAGGTCCACGGTGCCCTCAACGTCGTGGCATGCAGCATCATGAAGATAGCCAATGACATCCGCTTCTTGGGATCGGGGCCGAGATGTGGGTTGGGAGAGCTGCAGTTGCCTGAGAATGAACCAGGGAGTAGCATCATGCCTGGTAGGTGCATAACCCCCCCCCCCCCGAGATTGGGGGAGTCAGGAAGCAAGTGAGAAATTCCAACAGGATGGTAAAAACATTTTTCTGACCCAGTCAGCAATATATTTTGCAGTACTTGGTTGTCGTCGGAATGAAGAAAAACTGTTGGTTGGTAGGGTTTCATTTCTGATTAAAATGTTTGCCTGCCCTTTTTCATGCTAAGTTAAAAACAGCCTCTCCATTTGCAGTAAACTTTTTGAAACATTTACCGCTTGGTGGTATCTGAACCCATGTTTTCATCGTGCCAAATGCCTTGGATTTGTTTACTATTATTGTAAGATTAATGAAATGAATGGGGTTTGTAACTTTTGTGTTCGCCAAAACTGATAGTCCTGAATAACTGTTTGCCTGGATAACCTCTTGTTTTTTGCATGATACTTTGTAAATAGGTGACTCTGTGGGTCTGTGCCCTATCCTTTTCTCCTATCTTCTGTGCAGGGAAAGTGAACCCAACCCAGTGCGAGGCAATCACAATGGTGGCTGCACAGGTCATGGGGAACCAGACGGCCGTCACGGTGGGAGCTAGCAGCGGCCATTTTGAGCTGAATGTGTTCAAGCCCATGATTGTCTCCAATGTCCTGCGCTCTATTCGTCTGCTGGGAGATGGCTGCATTTCCTTCACGACGAAATGCGTGCTTGGCATCGTGCCCAACAGGGACACAATTGACAAGTATGTTAATTCTGGCATCATCTGCGTAATGTGTCTGTGCGCTAACCCAAACCCCCTTGAACGTGTGAACAGTCATATTACAAGTAGAGAAGTTAGAACTGTTGTGGTTAACAAGGCACACCTTGGGCACTTGTTCAACTCCATTTGGTCCAATTGCCCAATTTTTATTGTCTAGCTGTTTCTGACAAAAACTGGCCTTTTTCAATGTGTGTTTCAGAAATGACTAACACTAGATCTCTGTTTGAACTTTTAGGTATCTGAATGAATCTCTGATGTTGGTGACTGCCCTGAACCAGCACATTGGCTACGACAAGGCTGCCAAGATTGCAAAATATGCCCACGCCAACAGCACAACACTCAAAGAAGCAGCAATAACTCTTGGCTTTGTAACAGAGGATCAGTTCAACCAGTGGGTACGACCAGAACTTATGCTGGGGCCCAAATGATTTAACTCAAGTTTTATTTCCATACTGAATTAGTTTCTGGATCTCGACACAAAGCTTGTGAGAAAGAAACCTTCCTTGAAAATGATTTTATGTTTGGGATGTTACAGAAACAAAGTGAAATTAGTTTACAAGGAGAATTGTAAATCTGGCATGAGTAGCAAAAGAGTCATGACGAATGTGCATATCAATTTAGGAGGAAATGGTTTGAGAGATTTATGTCTGAATTATTCACTTTACTGTTCACGTCAGAAAAAATCTTGCAAAAGCGTGTTTTCTTGGACTTCAGCTAGCCTGTGAAAGTGATTTCATTAAAAGCTACATGTAGATCTATATCTGGTACAGACTTTGTACCGCCAAAGGGATGTTACTACACAGGTCAGCATCTACACTGTCGTGAATGTCTGAAATCAAACATGGCCAGTTGCCAAGATCACCTCCTGCCTCAAAAATTATTGTCTGGTATCACTATAAAGCAAAGTTTTACAGGGTACACAATTTATTTTGAATAACTGTCCAGTGCCACAAAAAAAGTAGATTGTTGACCTGAAATGAGACGGTGAGTGGCCTCAGTGATAATGGCAGAGCCTCCTGTTTATATGTATTCTGACTGGTTTATTCATATATGCGTGTAGAATGCTTGAAGGGCCTACACTGTATGTGGATGTGCATGTTTAAATGAGGTTTTCTCTGCATTAAGGCCACAAGGACAAACAAGCCAGTTATGTGCACTAGATAATTGCTTAAGTTGTATCTGAGAAATACCGGGCATTGTTGCAGGAAAGAAGGCTACGAGCCCCGAGCTGCAGTGGACCATGAGAGGGCGCAATTTTCCTAGCAACAGAGGCTCAGTTGATCGGAACTGCAGTACGCTGGTTGACGAACGATTATGGAATTCATGCGTTACGGTCACGTCGCTAGCAGCAAAACACTCCCACTAACCTGGTTCTGTTCAACCGATGACGTATTGCTTCTGCTCAAGGCACATTGTTTGCTGCCAAGACTAATACTTTGTGCTTAAGTTTGCTGTGTTGTATAATAGTCCAGTCCATCACGCACTTCGTAAGTCAGGTTATAAAAATGCACCATATCAAATGCATTCCTTTGCCACCATTCAGCTGTTGCTTGTGACTTGCCTTGTTAAAGGACTCGTGACTGGATTTGTGATAGGTTTGCGATGGACTGACTGCAACATGGATAGTTACCAAATGATCTTCACTAGTAGGAAGCAACCCATAACATTTAATTTGTGTCGCTGAAGTTGAGTTTTTGGGTTTTCAGGACTTTTCTTAAAGTTCATATGGATACATGTGATGTATTAACAAAAATAAATGTGTTGACACTGAAAATCTTGATCAGGTGCATGCCTACTGTGTGCATTTGTTCGTCTAAAGTTAAGTGAACTATAAAAAAAAATGTACAAATGATTTTTGAGGTGTATTAAAATTTTTTTAACGTAGTTAATGAGTACGGCAGATGAAGACCTTTGAGTTATTTCAACAGTGATTACATTTATTGACATTTCCTGACATTTTATTCACTTCTGAGAAAAGCTTATCTGAATATTTACTGAGTATATATCGTCGCAGAGCTGACACCGGCGAATCGACAGTTTTGACGATTTTAGATGTCAGTTTGGGGGACTTGAAAGGTTGCTTTTTCACTCCTTAGGGCCAAAATCCCATTAGAAAAAATAGGAGCCCCCCACCCCAACAAATTGTTCGAGGCAGAAGTGACGAATACACGATAAAAAAAAGTTACATTTAGCCCATTATGTCTAGTGTTTAACGTCAATGTCCTGCTGCATAAGCGCGGTCTTTTGAAATGTAGTGTCTGTTTAACTAAGGAGTACTGCTGGCTTAATGTTAGGCCTACTGTGATAATGAAGCCTTTCATTGAATGTTGTCAGGCCTTGTTACAAGAAGTAACTAGGATTACTGAAAAGTAAAAGGAACTAGCTTGCTCACTATGATAGGCCGTGGTGTCATTAATCGAGGCTCCGCCTTCATTTTAAAGACAAGCATGTCACGTAAACATAGCATGGATTAGGCCTGAACACGAGGTCAGTGGCGTAGACACAGGGGGGCACTGCCCCCCCTTCCCGTGCCTCCCCCAGATCCCCCCCACACACAAAAAAAGGGATGAATGGATATTGAACAAGGCTAACAAAAACTTGCCCAAAAACCACACCACTGAAAGCTGGTGCTCCCCCTCCCCATGCTGTGAAAGTACGATTGATACAAGTTTGTTGTAATGGGAGATTGGGGCGCACTTTACGCACGCAATTATTTTTTAGTGCAGAAGCCCTTTTGACTCCGAGAAACTGGGCACTTTTGCATTTAATTAACATGTGCCTTTAGACAACTTTGACCGTTTCAAAATTGACATATGGGAACCCAACAACGGATATCCAAGGACAGGACGGCGTTAGAAGTAACTGTTGAAGAGATAGACGGTAGGTAATAACGGACACGGTCAAAGAGAATTTACAAATTTCAGAAAAATAACCGTTATCTTAAAATTTATCGCGGAAACATGCAGAATTTTCACTCTGTTTTAATCAAACTTATCCACAGGCTATATATTATTGATTGCCTGGGCGAATATTGCCGATTGGGAACTCGCTGACAATGTAAAGTTCATATTTATGATACCGAGATAATAGAATTACCGCACATAGGAACAAGTATAACTGACTGGGTTTATACTCCTGTTTCTGTGATAATAACCCTGTATAAGTGCCCTTGACTTTAAAGCTAAAAATCTTGCTGGGGACACTCTTCGCTCCAAACAGCATCTGTGTTGTGATAAATTTTCTTAAAGTGATTAGCCAAAAATTGCGTTTTATAACTGCAGATGACGATTTGGTGTGCTAAGTTAATTTCAGTTCTGCAAATCAGAATAACTTTTTTAGGTTCGTCATAAATATTTAACTCTCTTGCACTTTTTTCCTTTTCCCGGGGGGGGTTATAACTTGGAAGACAGATAATACTGTATTTTATAATGCATAGAATTAAAATTTATTTTTTCTTCTCTCTTCCTTTTTATTCAGAATTCGTCATCCTAAACCGGGCACTGGCGTATTGGTTTAATTGAGGACAACTCCATGAATGCTCTGGGGTGTTTATCGTCAGATGTGTTGACTTGCAATAGCATAGTCTGCATGTGGTGGAAACCACATAAAAAGTGGTGGCAAGGAAATGTTGTTAATTGTGAAGGTGCAAAGCTCAAAGAAAAAAACAGTTCCAAGAAGAAATTTTCCTGCCATGCTGAAATCCGGGCTGTGTGCATTAACTTTCTCTTAACTTACAAACACTTGGAAGAAACTTCCCCGTTTCCTCCATAATACAATGTTCTCGATTCCAGCTCCTAGCAGTGAGAATTATCAGTCAGAATTTTCTACTGAAGACGAGAAACAATAATTTTAGACCGTAGACCACGGTGACTCTCCACTCTGTCAGCTGGTTGAGAGTGAGCTAACCGTCAAAATCATCGCCCCGTTTTTAAATGCTATGAGAATAACCGCTGATAGCAAATCACAATGAACCTTGCGATGGCCTTGTTCCAGAAAGTTCCTCAGAAACAAACAACATTCCCAAACCGGTGGCCTTTGAAGAGGCTGACGAAATGAGCGAATCACCTCTTATATGCGATCAGAAGATTATCAAGTTCAAGGTGAATGACGGAATGATGATCAGTGTAACGAAGAGCACGCTCCCCCCCCAATCATCAACAGCTCAACATGCCAAGAAACGTAGAAACTCGGGGTTGCCTCACTCAGCATTCAAGGAAGGAAATACCTGCTAGAAGGGGACTGCGACAAGCAGATCAGTGTGCCCAATACTAGCAAATTCAGCGCCAAGAAATTCAAAATTCATATTTGATACAGGTTGGTTGTTGCATGAACAAATAGTGTGGCTATCAAAATATATTAGAGTCAAACAGCCAAAACTGTTAAAACAAAAGGAAATCCCCAAAACGAACCTTAGAATATTTCTTGCCTGATGAACAGGGTGGTCTTCAGCAAGTTTGTAGATTTATTTTCCTTAACACACTTAGTGTGAGCGAAAGGCAAGTTCGGACAGCACGTTTGGAGTGGTTGAATCTGAAAAATGTGGGGGTGTTTGCAGAGAGTCAAAGACCAAAAGAAGAGTACATGTATAAGGAAGAGTCACATCAATCGATTTCCAAGGACTGAGTCACACCATTGTCGTAAGAACAACGATCGGCAACATCCTGCTGAAACCCACCGGTCAAAAAATTACGTACGAAATGAACCGTGAAGAAAATAACGAATTTCTCGTCGAAACCAACCTCAATGGGGTAGAAGACGTTTTTTTATTTGTCGATGGATATGCCGGCCAAAGCAAAAACACAATTAAGTGTGATTTCTATGTTGCTGTGGTTTAGTTTAGGTACACAGTATCGTTGGACGTGCCCTTACTAAACGGGCATGTAATTTGTAGTACACCCCCTTCTCAACGAGAAACGGCCATCACTGAGATTGGCTAGGAAAAGCCTTATGATGTCATTAACGTTAAAAAAAAGATTAAGAGTACTCGCATCAGCTTGGAATCTTAGGGGTCCACCAGGCTGAAGATTGAGTGGAAGTAGATTGGACTATAAAATCAAACAAGTTCGGATAAACCGTGAGAAATGATCTACAAACGATCATGATATTCGTAAAATGTCGCACTTAGAAAACGACTTTGCAGCATGATTGAAGTTAAGTCGAAGACGGTCTTCAGACCATAATTCATACTCCATTCCTCCATGCCCTCAGAGTGGACCAAAGAGCAGAATAACTAAGTATGAAGATCTCATGAGCCTTTGTAAAGACCACATTTCAATTAGTCCAAACAAGGAGGAGGGCCACTGGAACTTTTTTAGGCTTTGCCTCACTAATCATAGTATGATGGTAGGAATATGAGTCTGCGCACAATTTGAGACAGAAGTACTCTTTGACCATGTTAATTTAGGATTTGTTTTTGTGAATTGTGGATGCAAGTACCGACGATTTTTTTAATCTTAGTTCTTTCAGTTGTACGTACCTCCGTACGTTCACTGATAGTACATCATCATCAATGAGCATGAACGTAACAAAAATGAAGTTTTAAGATGTTATGCGCCTAATGAATTCAAACGTATAGGCTAGACTGACCGAATGTGCATGTGAATTATCATTTTACAAGAATGAAGCATTTGGGGAACTAAAAAGAATGCCTTTGATGAATTGCTTCAATTAGTCGATAGTCAAATCTTGAAAATACATCTTGAAAATAGTCGATAGTCGTTCTGTTTATTAACTTTCACAAACCATGGACACTGATTTAATCAAACGAGGTCTAAACATTTCATATTGTACATCAATTTCATTTCAACTGAACGCTATAAGATATTGTCAGCGTGTCAATTTTAAAGTCCGGATGTATTTTAAATGCAAAGGAAGCTTATAAGCACGGTTGAACAGCTTGCCATAAGCTTCCAGAAGTTCTAATATGAATGAATCTTCAAAAAAACGAGGTAATAGAGGTTTTTGCAAAACTAAATCAGTCATAGATTGCACAAGGAAAAAGCCATGAATGAGTACAGTGACCGGCGAATAATACACATTGGATTGATTAGCCTACAATATACTGAATGTGCAGTTATGCGTTGCGAACAGCACGCTCACGACAACGAATTATCATCAGTTGGAGTTTTTCCAGTTTGATAAACTGAAGAATAACTTTGCGTCCAAATTACAACGTACTCCCCAATTTCCTCGTCATGAAAAGTAATTTCAAAGATAAAGCAGCGCTCATTTAAAAAAAAAACCTTATTCTGAAGGTTTGTTATGTGAACTGTACAATACTTACGCTCAGAAAACGCGCTTTTCTCAAAACTGAGTTTTTGCATATTCGCCTGTATGTCATCAGCTAGCTCTGCGACGATATGATAGGATAATATGATCGATCCCAGGAGGGGCCCTTCAACGAAAGTTTTACGCTCACAGCTTTTCGCCCTTAGAATTAAAAAAAAACCTGTACTCTAGGTGTCATCTTGTTTGACTGTTAATATTCCTTTTCATGGTAGATAAAACATTTAAAAGTATTTTGACCACCGAAGCCCCCCCCCCCCGATATTTGATTCTGGATAGTTCTAACGTCACTTCCCTTCACAGAGAAATGGTAGATGCCAGTTTGAGGTCATGAGACGTCCCGGATGTTGACCTCGGCATAGTGATTTTTGCGACGCAACAAAATCAAGTTACTGCATCAAAATGGTGGGTAAATCGATGTTTTGTACTTCTTTTTGATATGACGAGCACTGCAAGTATGTCTTGGACCATGAAATTAATGTGGCTTTGCATTTCATCGTACTGGTCTCATTAATAGGCTGGAAATTACAAATAAATTGAACACCTTCGCACGCAGCTAGCTGCGGAGTTGTGTGGGCAGGGCTAAGGCCAGGGCGCGCTCACTGAAGTCACTGCATAATAACATGGAGGAAGGAACGTGCCTTCCTCCATGATAATAATGCTGACTTTGCTTCACCATTCACGGATGTCAGGCTAAGCGGCCTAAACCCGGATAAATTTTCGTCACCATCAACCATCATGACAATACACGTACTTACCTGATAACAAATGGTATTATTCCCAGTAAAATTGCAGCAATAGGCCTACATTACAAATTACAATATTTTTTCATCTTGAAACGTAGGCCCCCCTGCGGTGTCAGGTCAACTCGCCCCCTGACTTTCTCGCCCCTTACCGACTCATCCCTTTCCAACTCATCCCCTCGTAAACTCGCCCCCTGACTGACTCGCCTCTTGACAACTCGCCTCCTGGCCAACTCGCCCCTGACTGACTCGCCCCCTGACCGACTCGTCCCCTAGGAACGTCAAGCAAATATGGCCGGCCCATGTATTNTGTGACTGTATCTTGTTGTAGTGACCAGATATCCAGTTAGTTAGTTATAGTGGTCTTTTGCTCATTCACTTGACTGGGACCTCACATATACTGCGAAAATTGATTAAGGTTCTTGGATATACGCTTTTTGTGTGATGTACATGTATAAAGTCATTATCCACCAAGCTTTAAACAAACTCAACTTTGAGTGCCCGCTGCAAACCCCAGAACCTATTTTTAAGGGCAGCAATCACCGATTCCATCTCTGATTGATTGTATTTTTTATTAAATGGTGAATGGGTGAGTTGGCTAGGGGGGCGAGTCGGTCAGGAGGCAAGTCGGTCAGGGGGCGAGTTGGTAAGGGGCGAGTCGACTAGGGGGCGAGTCGGTCAGGCATGTCAGGGGGCGAGTTGGTAAGGGGCGAGCTGGTAAGGGGCGAGTTGACGTACAATCCCCCATACGTGTAGTTTAAACTAAAGTTTATTAAACTGTCATTTCCATTAAACTTATATAAAATCTATCATAAATACATCTTGCCTAGGCGCTAGACCTACATTGGGTACATGATGTGGCAGAATGTGCTTTTTTGGTCTGTTTTGCACTCCATTGCTTTTAGTTTTAGGGGCGTACATCTGGAATGTCAAACAGTTTACTCATTTAACGTTGAAGTAGCAAACGGTTACTTGTTCAAAAATGAATGTCCAACAAGTAACGAGGAACTAATTTCAGATCAGTTAGACCTAGTCTGAGTAACATGAGTAACTTGTACTCTATAAATGGCCTTTTTTCACATTTTTGAACATGGTCGGGTGATAGTAGAGTCCAAGTACCTGCCATATACTTTTGCTTCTGTTAATTCATCTCACTCAAATTAGCTTGAACCTGGAATTGAAATCCTCCAAATTCACCTCCAAAATGACCCTTAACCATGTTAACTGTCTAATGCACCCGGCTTAGGATTAAGTGAGAATCAGAGATTCCAATAATAAATGATAGTAAGGATATCTCACGCCGGACATTCCAGCACTCTAGAACCAGTCGTCAGCGTGCATGTGCTGACATGGCATGCTTTTTGTGAATGGTCTACTAGGTCGGTGTGCCATGACGTCACTCCAGGACATTAACATGTACATGTAGTTTAAAATGTTATTTGAACAAGGTGAGCTTGACAACAAGAGCGTTTCCGATTTGAAGGTGAAATTTCTCTTTTCTTCCCGAATGTAAGTAAACGTTACCATCATTGTTGGAATCTCTGATTTTCACTTAATCCTACGGTGGGTGCATTAGACAGTTTAAGGACAATTTTGGAGGTAAATTCAGAGAATTTTGATTCGGGATACGAACTAAATTTGAAATAAATTAATGAAATGGGAAGCCTGTGGAAGGTACTTGGACTCTACTACCGCCCAACCACGTCCAAATGTTTAAAAAGGTGATTTGTAGAGTCCAAGTTACTCGGACTAACCTAGGCCTAGGGCCTATACTCTTTCGAATATCCATTAATCAGGAGCAATAAAAAAAACATTAATTTCATTGCCATAATTGCAGTGAAATTTTTACTAGGCATGAAGGTTACATCACATCCATATCCTACGGGTCGAAAAAACAATGTGCCGATCAATAAAATCCTGTCAAATTTCATAAATCAACTGAAGAATAATCGAACAATCAACCAATCACAGAAAAAGAGAAAGTCAAAATAAGATTATCAAACGTTTTGACGACCGTTCTGAAGCGATATTTGACCCAGTTAAGAAGAGTCAACTGGTTCAACTGGTTTTTCGGAAATATTTTCTGGACAAAATAAAATGAGTGACCTGTAACTACATGAACATACATGTACATGTACAGTATGTCATCAAAATTTCAGTATTTTGTGTACATGCAAATACTAGAAAATGCCGAAAAAGGGGTTCTATGTTATTTTGGTTATTTTTAGACATGGGGAAATACATGTACCAACACAGCTGTGCTGGAACGCTCGAATCAGACCAGCGAAAAAAAACAAAACGGAAGCTGGGTACAAAATTGATAGTGCTGTTCAACAAACATGCAGTACCTACATGTACGTGTACCTACATGTACATGCACACGTACAGTGTACTTACATGATACGGACGCCGCTTGACCCCCTTGCACAAACCCTATAAGACTTGTCTGAAAAATTCAGTGTTATCTTATTAAATAACTGGTACATGTATTTTCCCACCTACATGTAACTTGAACTTTTCTGGATATCTTTTTGCTTTCTTATGGCTAATAGGTCACTGTAGGGAATAATTACTGGAACTCTTCCCCTAAACCCTGCTTGTTCTTGGAAAGTAGGCCTACCGGTGTCTGCTGAATATGCATACCAAAAGTAACTTGTTACTTGCCATGTCGTTTATATTAATATCACTGTCATGACTGTCTCATATGCAGAACCCTACTATGGTATGCTATTCAATATGCTATTGAAACACGCAGCTGATTTCACGAAACTTTATGCAATGGCATACATTAACTCCACTCATGCCACAGTTTATTACGTAAGTTACACAACAAATTAAGACCAATGTCACGAAACTGGCGCACTGCGTACGCAACAAATTATGGTGTAACTTTCCAGTACGCAGCCATTTTAGGTGGCGTGGCAGTAAATTGCGCCAAACTAAGCAAAAATGAATGAGTTGACTACATGTAGCTTATCGCGCTCGGCAAAGCCTCATCATTGCTGAACTTAACAAGGCTTATACGAGACATACATGTATCCAACTTTGTTGTAAAAGATAATAAAAAACTTGTTTGGCTGTAAGAAAATTGCAACATTTTCTGTTCGGTTCCCACAAAAAAAGACAAAAACTTTTTCAAAATGGCAGGCGGAGGTGATTCAACAGCTGTTTGATGACTGTTGTATTGGAAAGGAACAGCCATCGTAAAAGCCATTTTTGTCCTCGTTCAAGAAATCTAATTTTATTAAAAAATGATGCAGCTGTGCAATATTTTGTGAAATCGAATGCACAATGTAAGTATATTGCCATAAATTTGTTGCCCAAGGCTTACGCATGGTTCAAAGTTATGCCACATTTTTGAAATCGGCTGCAAGTTGACCAGTGACCAAGCTGAGTCAGACCGAGTTGGTTTTGGACTGAGTTGACTCGAATTCTACCAATAGATCACTTCATACATGACACGCAACTGAAATGCCTTCATGTCCCATGTCTGGAATTATATGCATGTACATCTACGTGTTTGTCCTTAAGTGACATATTCGTTGAAAATATTGTAACAGGTGAGGGGTCCCGTTCAGAGAATAATGAGAACTTGGCAGTATACCCACCGTATACCTACGACTGACTTGCTTGGCAGTTGTCCACAGGGTCATCTCCAAGTCACAGCCAATAGAACGGAGACGGGTTTGGGGAGAAGAATGCAAAGCTTTCAATATCTGGACTAATTATGCGGAGGTAGAGGGTAAGAGGGGAGGTCCAGGCACCGAGACTTACGCGTATCCCCAGGAAGGTTCCACAGTCAAAAGTAAATGTTGAAAGCAGTCCGCTGCTAATAATTTGCAGGCACATGCAAAAACCAACTGACCTTTAAGAAATTCAGTGGAGGAAACAGCATTTATCATTCATGAATTTGATCGTAACAATGTTGTTTCATTCACAAATTGTATCAACTGGATACCTATTTCCAATTCATTTACATTAAGGAAATTACATGTATTTACATGTACATGTAGTTCATGTAGTGCATATACTGGTACATGCACTGTACGTGTACTGTACACGTTCATGTGTACGTCATTCGCTGTTCAGAAGAAGTGATTCTTCCACACATTGTTGCAGTTACATGTAACATTCACATGCTGGTCTTCAAATTACATGTACATGTAAATTATGATGTGTGCTTTGCTTTGTAATCACGTTTGTCTCAGAAGAAAGGACTTGTTTCAAAAATGTGTGCTGATGAATTGGTGTTTAGCTGTCTGATGTTCTTTTCAAGATGCTAACTAGTTTTAATCTTCGTAGCACTTCTTTGTAGACTTCATTCTTCAGCATCTCTTTTATAGGCTTCACAGCACTTGTTTGCTGACTTAAAAACATAGCACTTCCCATCTTGGCACTTACTAGCTGCTGCCTTGATATTGCACACGTGTGGCTTGTTTGTTTGACCGAGCCAACTGAATGCCGGTTGCACACCCCTGTTATACAAAACTAGGCCAAGTGCATCGCACGTTTTATCAGTGGCTAAATGTGCGGCGCGTATATGCAAATGAATACGTGGCAACGTTGAGATGGGCAAAATAAGTGTAAAGACTACAATTGCACCAACAGGTACATTTACATGTACAGTAGGGAAATTGCAGTTTAGGTAAAGTAATGAACTGTTTGGATGACTGATGCTGTACAAGAAATCAGGGCTCATTGGAAGCTTTTTGGCAAAGTATGGGCCTGTCGCCATTTGCCAAATCGTGTCTAGTTTGGGTGTACATGTAGGGCGAACAATACGGAGGTACATTTACATGTACGTGTAGAAGTCTTGTAGACTGGCTCCAGTGCGGGGCTATTCATATTAAGGCAGTGGACATTTCACCAGTTCACAGTCCTAACATTTATGCTTCTGCTGTTGTGCCAGCATACCAACTGTACATGTACATGTAGGTACAGTACATGTGCGTCTGTAATGAGTGTTTTTGGATGCGCAGAAATTTACAGCAGTAAATCTTTGTCTGTTTCCATGCTAACATGGACATTGTGGATTCGTATTCAAGAGGTAGACTTTAGACCTAGTACAATTTATACTTTCTTCCAAAAAAAATTTCTCCAGAGCCACAATATTGCCAAATGAAAGAGAACTATTTTGCGATGTAAATGTATCGTACATGTACATGTAGGAATCAATTTAAAATAATAAAAAGTGTATGTATGCGTAATCTTGCAATTTTTGGAGGTGAAAACAAAACAAACTACAAAATGCCCCCAATTCAGGTTTTGAACAAGGTCTGAATCATTGTTCGTTTCAGTGGGTTTTTTTTGTTCTGTAATTGTTCTCTTCAATTGAAAGGATTTTGTCTTATGATTGTTGTCTACAGGGAAACGAGCAATCACTTCCAGTTGAGCTATGCTCCACTTGTAAGTATGCTGTACAGTTTTCTTTGCCGTTCTCCTGAGTGAGCCATTGGAAATGTTTCTTTTGTTTTTCATTTGAGCATTGCTGGATAAAAAAAGCACGGTGTATTTACATAAATGTGGCAAGCTTTCAACTGCTTTGTATGAAAAAAATTAATGAAATTTATTTGTCACAGTGGTCACCCCAAGTCAACCACAGCCCAACCACCAGAGTTGTTAGACTGTCAATTCTGGTTGCCAAAATCATACAAATTGACCGTCTTCAAACTGTTAATGGCTGCTGTTCCAATTTTTTTTGCACACACAAGACGTACATGTACATCTCATTTCTGGAATGTTCTGCAGGGAAATTTTGAATAGCCTAATCTTTGCGAAATACACATTTACAGTTTTGCAGAAGTGTACGTTTTCGTGCACTTTGTAGTGCCAGTAAAATGTGCATGTATTTGTCATTCAGCGACAGTGGAAACCAACAGCTGGGGTCATGCACGCACAGATGCACAGACATGATAGGCTTCGCGTGCTCTGACATGCATCTCTTGCATTCATGCAGTGTTTTAGGCAGGTGTATACTGTTGGACATGGATTTATGGCAAGCCTAGAAAATTACATACATGTACAATTTATGCATGAATCTATTAAAGTGTCAAGTGTTTCCCCTTTTGCAGTTTGCTTTGTATAGCGTATTTCAGTGGGACTAGTCATTGTATCTCGCATGCTGTATCCTGAATACATTAAAAAGAGGGTGATTACCATCATTCAGTTCGGAATGGTACATGTACATGTACAAATATTGAGCATATTTGTGCCGTCCATTGTGTTCAGTTTTTGATTGTTGATCTTCATACAATGCACCTGTACAGGTATCAGCAAACATCACAATATGTGTATGTACTTGTTTTAAATTAACAAATATTAACCCAGGGTTTCCCTAGGGATACAGACTACAGTGTGCATGTACTGTATGCATGTGGTGGTCAAACAAATCTTGCCAAAATTCTAGTGCCTAAAACAAATGCAAGTGTTTTCAAAAAGGCCTATTCTCCATATTCCAAATTTCCCTTCTAAAATAAATTGATGTAGTACATGTACATGTATTCTGTTTCCCTTTTTACCATTCTAAATGATTTGGAACTGATCTGTTTCAAAGTATTCAAGTTATTTTGCCTTTTCCTTCCATCATTGTTTATTTTACATGTACATGTAAGTTTGAGGTGGTGAAATTCAACTAAAAAGCTTGAAATGGTTACTAAAATCAGTGAGGTGGGCTGTCATGTACGGGTATAGTAGGTAGGGGAAACCTTGTAAATGAACCCATGTGCATGTACACTGTACAGTACACCTACATACACATACATATATACCAGTACATGTAGTATTTTACATTGAAACAGATATACATGTATGTGCATCATGCTGATTAAAAAATTCAATGGTGACTTGGGGGGGGGGACATTTATAATTCTACAGGTACATGTATTCATTGTTCATGTACACCTGTACATGATCATGTCAAGTGTGCAAGCACCAAGCGGTGAATTTTTTGCAGAATTTTACGGTGAATCAACACATTCAGGAGATGAAAAATTATTGCGGGCCATTTCAGATGATGTTTACAAACTCTTGTGGAAATCAAAATTTTATGGAATCGGTACATGTACAGTGTATGTATAGTACTGTACATCATCATGGACTTGGATTTGACTCTTGTACAATGCAGTACTGATTTTTACTTTTCATACATGTAGTAATACGGAGAATATTCTGATTTTTCATGAAAAAATCCGAATTTTGGGTGAAGGATTATGAATTCTTGATAGCCAATGTTGGGAGGTCTGATTACATAATTCTGTGTTCCACTCGCGCTCGCTGATAACTAATACAAGTACATGTACCAGTACTTGTAGTAATGATGCTGCAAGGATTTATCTGTGAACTTACCTGGTAAGTTACACGTAGATTGAGGAGATGCAAATTCTGTTTTCTCTGCACCTTGGTACCTGTCTTTCATGCATGAACATGTTTTCAGTGTGTGTGAGTCATCTTATGACCACACCTGAGTGTAGTGACATTGTCGAGTGACCTGCAACAGGATTCATATTGGGAATTCATTGCTGAAATACCCAAGTGCCTCATTGCTTAGCTCATTGAGGGATAGAAATTAATCTTTGGTCTATTATCTCAAAACCCTTTTTGGTCTTTCTCTGTAGTTGACACCGAAGAAATCAAGAGGTTAGGGAAGCGCTTTCGGAAGCTGGATCTTGACAACTCTGGAGCGCTGAGCGTGGATGAGTTCATGTCCCTGCCAGAACTCCAGCAGAACCCATTGGTGCAACGTGTCATCGAGATCTTTGACGTGGACGGTAACGGGGAGGTGGACTTCAAAGGTACCGGTATCAGAAGACTAATTCTTTATATGTGAGGTTTGGGCCTTCACTGATGTACTACGTGTACATGTATGTTTGTAACACTGTGTGCTCAGTGTTGTCCAAAGGTTTGTGAAAAACTCACAAGTTTGCTCAGATGGGACTCGAACCCACGACCTCCAGCTTACTACTGATAGCGCAGATGTTTTGCCACTCGACGACTGAGCTTCCTGGGGTCATCTGACCAGTTTGAATTAATTAGCTCTAGGTGCCACGCCAAACCTAAGATGTGATATTTCCTTCCCCCCATCACATCCTATCCAAATTTATCAGGAAGCTACATGTACCGCACATGTATATATTTTCTTTCAAAAAGTATGAATGCTAGTTGATTATCAGAGAGGGATAAAGGCAAATGCTTGAGTTGTGTCATCAAAATACTTTGTGTTTACAAAGTTTCCTCTCTTTCATTCTCAGAATTTATCCAGGGTGTATCACAGTTCAGCGTCAAAGGAGACAAGGAGTCCAAGATGAGATGTAAGCACCAAGCGGTCTTAATATTGGATATGAGTGGTTGTGTAGATAACCACTTTTTTTCCTGTCACTGAGGAGGCCTTAGTGCAAAGCACAAATTAACTTTATTCAGGCCAAGCGATTTACAGTTTCAATTATAGACACTAATTAAGCTGAACTGAAAGAGTTTTCCCAACAGAATTCATTTTCTAATGTAGACTGTGCAGTGCTTAGCATTGAATAGGAACACAGTTTTTAAAATGAACTCTACTTAGCTAATCATAAATTGAATGCTTGAGGGGAATAATGACTTTAATGCACACATGTACAGTAAGTGTACAGGTAAGTTACCCAACTCTGTCAAAATGGATATATTTTTACATCGTTTAGGAAAGTCGTACATGTAGGTGGTCAAATTTGGACCTTTTAACGCTTCGTTAGACATTGTGGAAAAAAGTGCTAGGGTATGAATTTGGGCCCTTGGTACATGTATATGGCTAGTTCATACTTGGCATGGAACACAAACCAAATTGTAACATCAGATCAAATGTGCATGTTGCAAATTTACAAAACCTCAACACTTCCTCACTCAAGTGAATTTAACCGCTGTGTTTTGGTACATGAAATTGGCTTCGCTTTGTATTCACCTACATGTAAGTATGAGTCGACCCTTAAAAGCAAGGATGACCTAAGTGTGTCATGAGTAAGACGGAAGGTCCAACTCATATTGGGCGAAAGTTGAAGAGTCTGGCTTTCCTTTCTGCTCAGATATTCATTGGGATATTTTGGGGTTTCCCCTATTTCCAGTTTTCTTCAACATCTATGACATGGACAAGGATGGGTATATCTCCAACGGGGAACTCTTCCAGGTCCTGAAGATGATGGTTGGCTCTAACCTGAGAGACACGCAGCTGCAACAAATCGTGGACAAGACGATCACGAATGCTGACACCGACCAGGATGGCCGGATCTCTTATGATGAGTTCTGCGCGGTAGGTAGCCATGAACAGCCTTGTTCCCTTCTTAGTGTACAGAGAAATGCATGGACAGGGGGTCAGGTTGGCATAGCAGTTTTTTACCCTCACCTTGCACCTCTGTGGCCTGGGTTTGATTCCACTGCCAGTCTGTGAATAAGGTGTTTCAGTCCCTACCTGATTCTGTGAGTTTTTCCAATGTGCCCAGAGTGCTTTTTGCGTATCTTGAATTGAGAAATACTTAAAAATAACAACGCTGCGAAAGGATTGTGGAAGAATAATTGATTCTATAGATACTGTTATGTTGGCTGAATCAAGCAAGGCATTTGGGGTTGGGGACCAGTCAGTGCCTCTGTACCATCTAATGCTGTGTACCGTCAGCTCTCGTATGAAATTCGTGTTACAATGAACATTACTCATAAAACTAGAGCACTGACTCACGCACAAAATGATGCCTGCTGGGCACATCCATGTTTGTGCACAAACCTGTGGAAAACTCAAAATTTTATACGGCTTTTGCACGGCTACATATGTTTGCATATCTGCGTCTGTATTCTACAACGCAAAAAACTAAACACACAATCAGTAAATGAGTGTTTCATTTTACTCTGGTAAACAACGCAAGCGCACATGCACTGCAGATAAATTTTTTTTTTTTCAATTGGATTTTATTGGTACCCGATGTGCATTGCATTTAGAGTGAACAATTCGATATTTATTCTACCTGATTTTGAATGTTCTACAAGCATGCACAGGGATTCAAAGGTCAGAATGGCGTCGAATTTTCTTGGCACGGAGAATGAGAATTTAGTGCTCTAGTAATTGAGTATAACTCTATGTTTACAAGCCTCTTACAACAAACGTTTTTTGGAAACTGCAAAGATAAGTCACACCTGTATTGTTTAAGGCATTATCTGTACCAGTACCCTAGCTTGGTTTATGCCTGCTGATGCATGACGCTGATACTTTGGTACAGTGTTAGAGCCAATGATTTTCCGCAATCGTGGAAAACGGACGGAATTTGCGGAATCAACACTTCGAAACAAAATCCACTGCTTGAAACGGAACTTGCAAAATTTCCAACTAAGAATGGCTTAAAAAGTAAAGAACACTTTCTGCAAAGTACTTCAAATAAATGCCTACCAAACCCTTTTAAAATGCTCGCTTTTCATGCACAAATTATGCTGGAAACATGCTAAATTGCACCTCTCCACCACATGATTGGGTCGTCCGCACCAGTACCGATACTTGCAAGTGCTTTGGCGTGCGTGAGCCCCATGTGTGTAGCGGCAGCCAGCACAGCGCAGCGACGTGGTATATGGCACACACATTGGCTGTACACGCGTGCACTGTACTAGGTTTGAAATCAAGGCGCAAACAAGTTCATACTCACACATATTGCACACATCAGGAATTCAGTCTGTGAATCGGCATAGACACCTTGAGACAAAGCTTAGTCTTCAGCAAAACTGAAGACTAACATTTCTTGAATTAAACGAAACCTAGTAAAGCTTGGTGTACCATAGCTGAATGGGCCCTCGGAAGTGTTCGATGTAGAGTGGGGTTTTCAGCCACAAACAGATTTAATGTAAACCTATTCTGTGAATTCACTGTACATGTGCTTCTATGTAATCTGATTGGATACATGAGGAGTGGCACATGAATTGTCCGTTGATTAATCATAGCAAGTTTATGATGATTGCGCCCTGGAGCGATCGCTCGCCAGTTGGAAATATCAAGGGATGGGGAATGCTGTATATATATTTTTTTAAATTTTCTCTACAGAAATTATCAAAAAGTTGGAATCATTGTAGAGTATTTCCAAACGATATTTGTTTGTGTTTTTTCTTTTCTTTCTTTCGTTTTTTGTTCGGGGGGGTATGGTTGGGCAAATGGTTTCCATGCATTGTATAAAACTTGCTCTCCTATTTCATGCTTATGAAGGTATGAAACAAAATTTTAAATTCCGAAGCAAAATTTGGGATTTGGCGAAACGGAAAATACCCATTTTCATTACAGAAAACATCTCACCTCTGTTTACCTACATTTGCATATCAGTGCACATTCGCATCAAACCTCGCTGAAAAAGGCCCCCAAGCCACACCCTCTGCACCCACTGCAAGTCCCCCTATAAAAGGCCGTGTAGCACTAAGACTCGTCCTAGTTTTTTTCAGCAATGCGTGCAGTCTATATCGTCCTAAATCAGAGTACAATGGAGCTTCATGGTCATACACAATCTTGCTGAATTTGACACAGAAATTTTAATTCAAGCCACGTTCCGGGCAAATCTCCCAGTCCCTCCGGCCTGATTGGCCCTTCAGGCTTGATATTTCCACCATGTCAACCGAGTTTAATATGCCAGGTTCAACAGTTGGAAATTCTCTGGGGCCAAGCCTGCGACTAGTCTCGACCAGCGCCACTCTCTGGCAAATCCTGCACACCTCCGGCAGCCAGATGTTAGCATATGGAAACAGCAGAATCCAACGTCCGTGTACATGCGGGAGGGCGGGGCCCAGCACTCGACACAATCATACCGGACGACCAGCGAGCCTTGCCCAGTCACAGAGGCCCAGGGCACCACCACCACCACCCAAGTCGTCATCACATTTTTAGCCACGTGGACGGCAGCCTTTTTGTTACATGTAGAGGTCAAACGCAACAGCTTCAACCTCGTTCTCATCTAAGCGCATTGGATCGACTGACTCTTGGGGGTCATAGGCTAAATTACCATTTGTGTCATGGGGATAAGAAGATTGCGTTCTCCCTCGTTGACCGATGTGCTCCTCCCACGCATTCTACAGTGCTGCTCACAATAAACAGACAAATGGAACACGGTCACCTGGGTAACATCGTTACCATTGTAGAGATGTTTAATTCACAGAAATCAAAGTGTCTTAATCTCATATCGTTCATCGGGCTAATGACTACACGCTCAAAACTGCACAGAATGTTTTTGAATTCCTCTGGTATAATGAATCACTAACTGCTTTCTTGTGATCCTCTGGCTTTTCTCCAATAGAAGAATATTCGTGTGCATGTACATGTACTTGGTACATTTATTTACCTGTTCTCATTTGTTGCCTAGTTCTTGGCATCAGAACTCTATGCGGTCAATTTGGGTCCGAATAAATTTGTTTTGTAGGAGGAACACTATGTCCAGTCTAGTATTTTTCTTACTTCACTAGTATTTTCCCTACTTCAGGTTTTGAAAATTATTCAATTTACTGCAGCTCTAATAGTTCTAAATTCCACTGGAGCTGTTGTCACTAGTCACCATTGCCTTACGTTTGTCCTTTATGGCTTCAAACAACGAGGGCTCTTGTATTTAAATAGTCACAGCACTACATTTTCTTACTTAGTGGTATCTCATTTGGGTTTGAGATGGACCCTTGGGTGCAAGGTCTTCCAACTGGGTTCCTGTGTGCATTCGGCGACTTGACATGTGCAGACCATTCTTTGAGCGTATTTAGCTGCGCCTATTCAGTGTGCTCCACGCACAACCTTGAGGCACCTTTCCATATGTACAATGTGGGTGCGCTTGCCCGCGTGTTCCTGTGTTTCACTTTCTCAGAAATTAACACTCATGTGCGTTGCGTTCCCCCGTTAGGGTCGCTCCAGGAGCTATTTCGTCCAGCGCGCGGCACATGGTGCAGGTTTTGTCACACACGGGAAGAGTGCCTCAACTTGTGCACCTACCGGTACGCGGTGACTTACGATTGCCTTTTTCATTTACTCACAACAAAATAAATGGGTACGCCATCTCTTGGTTCTCGCTTGAAGCAAATAATTACTCAACTCATTGCAGCTCTAGCCCCTGTTCTGCCTCACCTCCCCAAAGAAGAACTGCATAGCCTTTGGGTATGTGCCACCTGGTCAGTGTATTTCTTGAACAAAGTACATGCAGTATCAACACACTACGCCGTACCGGTACATGTCTCAGTGGTGCATAATGCTGGACCCGCAGCATCCCTTATTTGTTACCATTTGCCGTCCACTAAATTTCAGCGTAGTGGAGTGGCCGCCATTGTACTTTAGTTACAGTAGCCTTTCTGACGACCAGGTTTTGTTATGCAAGTCCTTCTGCACATCCTAATCATGTCCACGTTGCATGGATAGTCGTACTGGTTTGTTCACAGAAATTGCTCCCCTTTTTCCTGCATTCATGATGGTAATTCAAGGTTGTTTTCTCGGAGTTGGCGAGCATGTTCCCACAAATTTCCTTAGCATAGCTCAGGGTTTTCATCTGTTTCACAGGTTTCAAAAGATAAGACGCTACATGTATGTGTGACCTTGGTTGACCAATTTCTCTATGGGTTCCCATTGTGGTTACCTGACTGGCGCAAGTTGTACATAACAGCATTAGTTGCCTGTAATTCTTAGGCACTGTCGACTGTATGGTTAGGTTGCATAAGGCAGGTTTTTGTCACCTTTGTGATTTTTGGTGGTCTTCGTCCAATTTCATGCCGTACATACCACAAAGCTCGTGCATACAAGATACTATCATAGTTTTGGGGTCTTTGTCAGTAATAGATACAACAGTGGCCGTACATCAGCACAGTCAATAATGGGTAAAGTCGCAGTTTTTTCTTTACTGATTTATTTGTTGTACAACCATTCAGTGTAATTACACAGCTTATTAAACATGCAGTGTAAAAACTTCTTTACAAATGGGGGAGGTGCAATTTCAAAGTTAAGCACCCTCTTGAAATTGAAGGGACGAACACACAAATTTTCAAAACAGCCTGGGTGCCATCTCAGCTGGCCTTCATGCCCTTCCGGTATTTTGTGAGGTTGTATTTGAGGTGAAGTGGCCTTTGCCTATCTGCAGCTAATGGCTGTAGCCTGTTGTTCCCTTTAATAACAACTTCTGCCAGACCATGCTGCTTGATGCCTTCCGCCTCTAGACTGCAGAAAGGATGGACCTCTTGTTATTTTGCTAACGTTTCTCTAAGCCACCCACTGGACAGAGGAAGACTTCTTTGGTTGATGCCCCACGACTGGGCAACATCACTCCCACAGACTGATCCCTTCATTTGTTGCTCAACCACAGTTAGGGGAA